AGGACATTGTCTTCCATGTTGCAGCTTTGTTTGTGTTCCCTGGGCCCATGGCTTGGAGAGCAAGTCTGAGTGCCTGGCTAGGGAGTTATTTGGGAAGCTTTAACATGAGCAAAGTAGAAATGACAGGAAATGGGAGGGTTCTGGTCTCTCCAGATAAAAAGTTCAGGAGGCTGGATGAGTCAGAAAGGACATCCTGCCACCCTTTAGAGAAGCCAGCAAGACTGCTAGCCTAGTGCCACATGGGTCCCTGAAGGGCTCAGACAGAGAAGCCCATCATTCTCATTGATTAACAGTATGTAACCAGCAGAGAAAGATGTATTAAGGCAAGGACATATTCTTTATTCGAGATACTGTGACAATAAGGTGCTTTTGGAAAACAGTAAGATGCTTTTGGAAAACTTAAGATTTTCTGAAAACTTAAGGCTTTGGAAGTAATGACATCACTGCCAATCATTTAGCATCTTTGCTTATGGAGTAGCAGGAGCAGGCAATTGTCCCACCTCCCCAGGTGCTTTCTGCTTTCCCCAAGGTTTTGCTCTTCTGGCTAATGCTTTATTGGGGGTGGGGTTGATCTGGGAGGCAGATCAGAGACCACAAAATAAATATTCAGATCTGAAATCTGGCATTCTGAGCAAACCAACCTGCTAAACTTCAGGTTATATTTGTAGCCAGAAGAAAATATTGATTAGAAGCCCCAGACTGTCAAAAGCAACTAACTAACTGCTCAGGTGTCAATGACATTTTCCTAGTGGAACATCACAGGCCAGGGGAAGAGTCTCTCTGCAGCATGGGATAAATACCAGGGAGCAGAAGCATATAGGACACAGGTGGAGTCCCCAGGGGGGGGCGGATCTCTTCTGTCGCACAAACCCACTCAGAAACGGGACCAGAGAGCCTTCCTCAGCCAGCCACGGTCAGTGCCCCACCCCGGGCCCAGCCCTGGCCCTCTAAAAGTAGCGCGCATGTGGTCACCTACCTGAAAGAGTGGCTCTGGGACCCGAGGGAGTTGCCTTGATACAGGCCTGAGAAATAGGATCTCCTGCTTTCTACAAGTCCAACCTTTGCTCCACTTTCCTTTGGCTTCTCAAACATTTATTCACTAGGAGCGTCTAGTCAGTGAAGTTATCTCAGCTATTTGCAAAAGACAAGAATACAACAGGGAAGTTTGAAGTTCACACCCTGACAGGAAATAGCCACGGTTTACTTGCTCCAGTTTCTGGGATGGTCCGTACAAGGTGTGCTGGATCTTCAGGAACGCTCCCTTTAGGAACTGGTAAGCAAGATCTGGAAAGAAACTTGCTGCCGCCGCTGAGCGTGGGGTACTTGGTTAGTGATGAAGCCACCAGAGTGCTAGGATTCTAGGGCAAGAAGCTGGTAATGTCAGAGGCCTCTGCCCCCTGCCATTTCTCCATATCATAGGGAAGGGCGAGGAGGCTCAATTCCAGTCTTATTCACTGAGGCTGATGCCTTTTTAAAGGAGACACCGTGAGATGCAGGAGAGTGTGTGCTGCCTCTCCCTCATCTTTTCCCAGGACGTTCCCTAGGCTCAGCTCACTCTTCCAAGTGGGCCAAATATCTTTTCCTGCCTCTTACCTCTGGACAAGTTTGAACGCACACATTCTAAACCTTCTCTTTTTCTCTAAACATGGTCAGACCACTGATTTACAAATTGAAGGGACACAAGAGGAAAGCGGCAGTGGGGGCGGGGGGAGAGGACAGGACAGGCAGCTAGAAAAGTGTTAGAGGTTTTATGAAAACCCCAGCACCCTGGATACGGCCAGTCTTACTTGACCTTGGATGCGGACTAGCTGGCCCTGTGTCTGATTTATGGCCAGGCTGGTCAGCATCAAGGAAACCGTAAATCCGACAGAAAGAACCCCCGCTGTGTAATCATCTCTTTGGGAAGTGGAGATAGTGCAGAGTAGCAAAGACGGAAAGCACCACCCCCACTGACAAAGAGAACCAACCTCTGTGGAAAGCACGTTCGTGCTACAGCATTGTTGGATGAAACGGCATTGCCTCTCTCCTCTGGAAATTTATAGGCATAAGAGTCTCCTAGAAGGAGGGAGAACTGGAGGAAAAGTGGAGGACATCATGTTCTCTCCAGCAGCCTCAGTCCCTAAAAATCCCACTGAGTTGGTTTTGACTTCAGGCCGTTTCCACTCTAGCCAATAAAGCACTTGGCACAAAGTGGGTAGGCCTGTTACTATGGCAATGGTTTCCAGGTGATTCTCATGGTCTGGACCGCAGCTTCTCTATCGCTCCCCTCTTCTGAGGGTGATGGTAGAATGGAGGAGGCTGAACTTCGCAGAGAATAGTTAAAGCCCACAGAGGAAAGCCAAGTGCCCTGAAGTGTGAGGGCCCAGGCCAGGGGGAGACAGATGCTCCTGTCCTGAGAATTCAGACAGCGTGCATTCAACCCCTTGCTTTCACTCCACAGATGCAAGCCTGTGTGGTTTATTTGTAATAAAAACTTATACTTTTCTTTCTTCTTGCAGACATTAAGACAAAAAAATACAAAAATTAAGATAAGCAAAGAGAAGAAAAGTACTTATAATTTCCATTATTTAAAATATACCACTTTTAGAGTTTAGGCATATGTAATCTTTTCTCTGTAAACTGTGTGCTTTGAAAAAAACAATAATAGTAGAATAATATACATGTTGTTTTACAGTGTGCTTCCTCAGTTAATTCATTGGGACAATTCTAAGTATAGAAATGCACTCATTTTCAATGACTGGCTGGTCCCTAGACAAACAGATTAACTACGTGTTGTTTATCCAGGCCCCTGCTGTTAGACATAAGATTTGTGTCTAACTGTTATCTCTTAAAAAAAGCAGCAGAGCCTTGGCTGGTGTGGCTCAGTGGATTGCGAGCCAGCCTGAGGACCAAAGGGTCACTGGTTCAATCCCCAGTCAGGGCACATGCTTGGGTTGTAGGCCAGGTCCCCAGGAGGGGACCTTCAAAAGGCAACCACACATTGATATTTCTCTCCCTCCCTCCCCCTTTATCTAAAAATAAGTAAATAACATCTTTTTTTAAACAAAAAAGAAAGTGAAAAGATAAGTTTTTTAAAAAGCAGTGTAATAAAATCTTATCATGCAATCTTATTTCTTTAGAATAACTTTTCAAAACTGGAATTCCTCAGTCAAAGATCCATATATTCTTAAGGCTTCTGGATGTGCATTGAAAAAATGACTATCTACATTTACCAGCAGTGTATGTCTGCTTGTTAAGTTCTCAAGTGCCGAAACTTCATCAGTATTTTCTCATGGTTTTGCTCATGCTCACATGTAAGCATTTAAAAATACAAAAAAAAAAAAAAACCTTATGCTTATCATGATTGATGTTAATTTGTGTTAATCTTTGAGTCACCTGGCCGCAAAGATTTCTCAGAGAAAGTCAATCTGTAAATACAAAGAATCTCAATTATCCAGAGAGGGAGTTCAAATTTTAAGATGTTTACATATGGGTAGGGGAGAGGGCACACAGAATGTACAATAAAATATTGTTCTCAGAATCCTGGTTTTGGGATCATGACTTAGGTGATGACGTGGCTGTTTTGGGGAGTGCTCCTTTACTGGATTCCTTCTAAATGTGAAGCACTGTGCAAAGTGTTTAGATAATTTCACAATATCTTTACAGCACCCTTCTGAGAAGAACATGGTTAAACTAATTCTGAAGTTGAGAAAACTAAGGCACAAGTTTGAACTGACTTGCCCAAGGCCACATACATCTGGCAAGCGTGTGGACACAAACAAACAACAAACAAAAATTCATGGAATTCTGTCTGCGATTACATCGAGGATGTCTTTAGGCTCAGATGACTTTGCAAATCGATGCCAATCTGTCCTAGTAGAAGAGCTAGAGACTCTAAGCTCAGTGAAGAAGTTATGCTGAATTTGTTTGGAGGAAAGCAGCTCCTCCAGTGCACAGGGTTTGCAGTGGCCCCTTGAGATGGACCAGAATGAGGGCTCAGTAATCCCAGTCTGGGAGCTTGCTGCCGAAGGAGGACACATAGAGGGTAGTTATCAGCAATTCTTTTCCTCCTCTCACTTCAGACTGTGTCAGAGCTTCTCAAATGCTAGTGCACTTTGACATATACAAGTCTGTTAATTGCAGATTCTCAGAGTAAACTGAAGACTGCTTCTGAGGGTCTGGAGTGGGGGCCCGGAATCCGTACTTTTACTCATTGGGAGAGACCGATGTAGGTGGTTCTGATATCAAACTTTGGGAGTTAGTGTTCTCTCATTAAAAGCCTCTCCCCGATGCTTTTGTCCAGGGTGAGAGACATAGACTAGGTTATTTGTGAGTAAACACTCTCACAGTCATTAACACGCTTATTCTAGAAAAACTATAAGATTAGTTCAGCAGGTGATCATTATTATTATTAAATCAACATCATCAATCATCATCATCACCCTTACCTAGCACAGAGTAGTGGCTCCCTTTGCGCAGGCATTGTGCTGAGGGCTGGACTTGTATAACCTTGTTTAACCCTTACCATATTACTTAGGGGGAGTTCCCATTACCGTTCAACCCCCATTTATCTAGCAGGAGATGGTGGCGTAGAGAGAGGAAGTAGCATGTCCTAGGTCACACAACTAATCTGCGGTGGACTCAGAATTCCAGCCCAGGCCACTTGCCTACTCTTGAGTGGCTCCAGATTCTTATTTAACTAGCAGAGAGGGATCCTGGGGCCAGGGGCAAGTGAGGTTACGTGCTTTGTCCAGGATCATAAAGTTTGTTAGTGGTGTCCCTGGATTAATTACCAGGGCCTTGCTGACTCCCTGACCTAACCTCTTTCTGCAAGACTGCTGCTTCTAGATGTGTTAGGACAGATTCTGAAAAGAAAAGGTTCCAGCTAATTAATGGCACTGAGTAGAAACCAAGCTGTGGTCCTCAGGGGACTCTGCACTGTCATTTAAGCTCCTGGCATGAGTGGGCAGGAGGCTGAGCCCCTCTAAGTTTTGCAGTGTACCAGATGTTAGACACTATCCATGGCTCCCAGCACAGGTGCTGAGGCCCCCACTTGCATCTGGGCTCTGTTTGGGGGTTAAATGCCATGATGCCCACCCAATACTAGTTCTAACACTCTTTGCCAGTGTGCTGGTGGCTTGGCTTGAGGCTGCTAAACTCATTGTGGGCTTTCAGCCTTCCTGGAATATCTCCCATCCATTCAGTGTGCAAAGGCTGGGTGCAGGTCTCCAGATTGCCATGGTCAAGATCAACTTAGAGTCAGCGGACCTCAGAAATTTTAGCTGTGAGTTCACTTACACCATCTCAACCTGCAGTGCCAAGGAGGCTCTTGCTATTTTCATTAGCCAGGTCCAGAGAGAAGAGATTTCTGCCCTGTTTGGACCAGCATGCCCAGAAGCAGCAGAGGTATACAATCTTCTACAAACTCTGTCTGAGTTTCCATTGGAAAGGTTGATCTTCAAGATGATGGCAGAGATTTGAATATTTCCTTGACAAGAGTGGCATTATTAGAATAATTATTGTGTGGGTCTTCGGTCCCATTTTTTTTGAGCTGTAATTAGACCATGTAATTAGAATAGTTAATATTCTTTTAAAAGAAAGCCTTTTGAATCAATTATTGTAAGTTCCCTCACTAACCTGTGGTTGTGTATTAACAAACTTGTTGATCACTTAGACTTGGTGCTGTTGCAGGTAGATTCATTATTTATTCTAATGTTGTCAGCTACATGGGTCAGGAAAATTGAGAAGGAAATTAGTGCTTGGTATTCAATAGAAAAATCATTTTTGTAGGTTTCTTTTTGGTGTAATAAGTGATTCGGCGATGGTAAAAGTAAGTGGAAAAGAAGGAAGTATGGTAGACGGTAATAAGCTAGGGCAAGAAAATGAGAGAAAGCAATGACTTGTATCTGTTTAGTTAATGGGATTAGACTTGTAGAAATCCTTGGGTATCTCATGCTTAGTCTAAAATAGGCCAAGCCTACTGATGCAAAGCCAAAATTGAAAGGAGCACCCCACGTTCTAACTCACTGCACAAGGACCATTAGGCGGGCGGTAGAATTAAGTTCCTGTTTGAATTCGAATTTTGATCTCCCCTGGAATTCCTCATTTGACACATTTCTTGCTGTTCACAGCCTACCCATTTTTCCATGTCAAGCTCAAATGCCATAGAGCTTTTCTTCACCCTTCCATCCTCCTTCTATGTCCCTAATTCCCAAACCAGAAGTGATTTCTTACTTTTTCTAAATTCCTATAAATCTATTGTCTATAAATAGTGAAAGGTATATTTAACTGTATAAGCTATTTTCATGTGTCTTAGCTCCTGTAATAGATCATAAACTCCTTTAAGAGCAGGGTCTCCAAAGTTTCTTATAAATAGTAGGCTTATAAGGAGAAATGAATAAGGAACAAATTAAGAAAGACACATGAAGAGAGTGAATAGTAGCTCTGAGTGTGGGCTCTGAATTCATTTTGCCTGTATTCCAATACTGCTCCCCTATTTGCTAGCTTTGTAACTTATACCTTCATGTCCCCATGTTTTCATCTACTAAATGGGGCAGTGACAATGCCAACCTCATAGTAATGTTGTAAAAATTGAGATGATATATACAAGCTCTTGGCAAATTGCTTGGTACCCATCAAGCTCTCAATGAATGCTCACTGTTATTATGCTTGTCCTGAGGTCTTGCATCCTCATGTTGGAGATAAGACATTATCATCAATATTCCAAAAGACAGGCTCCAACATGACCTACTGAGTCACTGAATTCAAACTCATGTAGATTCCTTACCATGGGGTTTGAGTGTAGCATAAACTTAATTATAAAAAGACATCCTTTTGGTTACTTTCAAGGTTATTGGTTTGCTGGCCTCTGAGTGGAATACCCCCAACTTTGACTTTGCTGGACAAACAGCAAAACTGTAGAATGACTCCTTATATGACACCTATGTGAGACTTGTGCCACTTGTGTGTGAGATTGGTGATGTGCTCCAGAAAAGTCTCCAGTACCTGGGCTGGAAACACATCAGGATGTTTGGGGGTCCCTTTGGGACTTCCTCCTGGGATAGAGGGTGGAGGATTGTAGAGAACGAACTCAAAGCCCATTTCACCATCACTGCCCAGGTCAAATACACCAACTATCCAGCCCTACTGCAAGAGAATGTTAGGACCGTGTCAGCAACTGCCAGAGGTAAGTGGGAAAGGATCTTCTGTTGCTGATGTTTAGAGAGACAAATAGGAAAAGCAGATGGGAAGTCTTCATTTTGCTATGGGTGTATAAAGCAGATGGAAATTTGCAGCTCAGAGGATGCAAAAATTAGTGATATATAAAAAGTCCTTCTTTCTGGTTGACATCACCACCACCACCAACAACAAATATTTTTAATCTAAAGTGAGATCCCATGTGTTATAATGTTATGATTCATTGAATACACTCTGAAAGCATCTTCCAGGTGCGCTGAGTCCTGGGCTTGGGCTGTGGTTCAGAGCATGGGCTCTGGAGACAGATAGCCCAGGTGTCAAACCAGCCTCTAATACTTGTTAGCTGTGTACTCCTGGGCAAATACCTTGACCTCTCTGTGCCTTAGATACCTAATCTGGAAAATGCAGGTAATCATCTGCCTACCTCACAGAAACATGAAGACTGCATGAGGTCCTGCCTATAAAGTCTTCAGTACTGTCTGGACAGAGTAATTGGTCAATATATGGTAGCAGTTAGTTTTGTTTGGGTACTTACGAGGCTCTGTTTTCTAGCCTGAATTAGTAACTGACTCATTTCTGTTGTTCAATAAACTAAGCCTTTCTGGCCTCGACACTTTCGGACTCTGATCCTTGGCCTGGAGCATAACCTGCAACCTCATTGCACCCTATAATTCACTGGTATAGTGCCTGTCTGTCTCAGTTCATCGAGAGCTGGGCCCTCTGTCTTGCTCATTGCTGTGCCCTGTGCTTAATCAGCACAAGGCTTGGCGCCTGGATGGAGCTCAGATAAATAGATTACAATTTAACTCGTTTAAAGAATGTCACTGTTTCACTTGTGTGTCCTCAAAATGCACACTGAGGTTTTTGAATGGAAGAAAAGCACCATGGTCCATGCCTTCCCCTCCCGCCCCCCATCCTAACTCAAGGCTCCTGGCTCGAGGTCCTCCTTTAACTCCTCCTAACTGTGGCTGATGAGTAATAAGCCAGATCTGTTGTTCCGAGACAATGAAACAGAGACACAGAGGTGGTCTTAACCTTTTCTGACTGGACTTGGGGAAAGAGCTGCAGTGAGGACTTGAGTTCTGCAGAGCAAATCTGCCAGTCGGTACACTGCTGCTGGTACCCCCTGGGAATCGTTTCGGCATTCTCCTTTCCTAAAGCAGCATCAGGGAAAGAAAACATTCATGTCTCATTTAGAGCAGTTTCAGGCAGGACTTTAAGAAGCACGTGCATGTGTGCACAGGGTCATGTGTGCTTGGCTGACTGTTTTTTTTCTTATAGCAATCATCCTAATCTGCAGCTCAGAGGATGCAGACATTATTCTGGTAGCTGCGGACAACCTGGGCCTCCAAGCGGGAGGGTTTGTTTTCATTGTTCTGCAGCAGTGGCAGGTGAGTGTCGGTGACTGCCATGTGGCTCCTGCAGCAGGAGCTAAGAAGTGTGGAGCAGTTGCTAAGTGCCAGATGAAGTGGCTCACTGAAGACTGGACACAGCCTTACGTGTCCTCCTCTTAAGGCTGGGAGACTGGGACTGAGCTGGAGGAACGCACCCAGAGTCCTTTTGTCCAGTGAGTGAGTGGTTGAGGCAGGCCTCGAACCTGGATGCTGACTCTTGGTAGTCTGTCAGCAGACACCAGTGAGGGGGAACTGTTGCTCTTATCATGTATCTGAGACCTCCCCAAAGGACGCTCAAACACATGTGGCACTTCTTCCCTGTGTCTCTGTTGGAGTCCTAACAAAGGCCCGAAGAGATCAATATACTGGTCCGATGAGGCCATTCTTGGGTGGGTTCTTATGGTCAAGATTGAAATGGTCAAATGTACCATGTGCCTACCGTGAGGAATGAGTTACACATTTTATCTGCACTGCTGCACTTAATATTCCCATGAGCCTTACAGGGTAGATCTTATCAGCAGTCCAATTTACAGATAGGAAAATTGAGGTTTAGATGCATAAGGTAACTTCTCCCACATTTCAGAGCTCCTGAGGGCATAGCTGGTCTTCCAAACCACATCTTTTGGACTCTGGGACAGAGCCTGTGCCCCAACAGCTCTGGCTTATGGATTAGTTACTGGGTGCCAGGCTCCACCGTGAGGACTTGATATGCTAAAACTCATGTCAGCTCATACCACCCTGGGGGAGATACTTATTTTCCCTGTCTTACAGATGAGGAAACTGGGGCTCTGAGAGAGAAAATAACTTGCCCAAGGTCACATGACTGGTAGGAGGGAAAGCTGGTATTCGAACCCCAGGAGGACTGCTTTCAGAGTCTGTACATTTAAACACCACTTTACACTAGCAGGTTTCTGGACAAAGCCACTTGCGTTTAGATATGGAAACACCGTGTAAGTTTTTCAGCAGTTTTATCTTTCTAAAATGAGCTTGTTTTAAATGATTCTAAGAAGCTGAGATGAGGTAAAAGGGAGTAAAAGATGTATAACCATGTTCCAGATTTCTTTTATCTTTTTTATTTTATCTTTCAATTGCACTTGACATTTGATCATGTTTTATATTAGTTCAAGTGAACAGCATAAAAGTTAGACAATTATGTTATTCATGAAGCGATCCCCTGGTAATTCTAGGACCCACCTGGCATACCAGTTATTACAACATATTGGCTATATTCCCTATGCTGTACTTTACATCCCTCTGACTATTTTGTAACTACCAATTTGTACCTAATCCCTTCACTCTTCTCACCCAGCCCTCCAACACTCCTCCCTTCTGACAACCATCCATTTTCTGTAACTACGAGTCTGTTTATGTTTTGTTTATTTGTTTCGTTCTGTAGACTCCACGTGGAAGTGAAATCATATGGTATTTGTCTATCTCTATATGACTTATTTCACTTAGCAAAATACCCTCCAGGTCCCTCCATGTTCTCCACAATGGGAAGATTTCATTCTTTTTTATGGCTGAGTCATAGTCTATTGTCTGTATGTACCACAGCTTTTTTATCCATCCTCTATCGATGGGCACTTGGGTTGCTTTCATATCTTGACTATGGTAAATAATGCTGCACTAGACACAGGGGTACATATATCTTTTCAAATTCGTGTTTTGGATTTCTTCAGAAGTGGAATTACTGAGTCATAAGGTATTTTTAATTTTTAATTTTTTGAGAAACCTCCGCACTGTTTTCCACAGTGGTTACATGAATTTGCATTCCCACCAACAAACAGTGCGTGGAGGTTCCCTTTCCTCCATATCCTCACCAGCACTTGTCCTTGGCATTTATTGATGACAGCCATTCTGACATTAGTGAGGTGTATCTCACTGTGGATACTTTTTCTTGTCTTATAGCTGTGGGCAGGACTTCCAGTACTATGCTGAATAAGAGTGGTGAAAGTGGTCATCTCTGTCTTGTTCCTGCTCTTAAGAGAAGCACGTACAGTTTTCGCCCATTGAGCATGATGCTGGCAGTGGGTCTGTCATATATGGCCTGTATTATGTTTAGGTATGTTCCCTCTATTCCTGCTTTGCTGAGAGTTTTTATCATACATTGGTGATGAACTTTGTCAAGTGTTTTTTTTTTCTGCATTTATTGATATGATCATGTGATTTTTAACCTTCATGTGATGTAGCACATTAACTGACTTGCAAATACTGAACCACCTTCGCATCTTAAGAATAAATCCCACTTAAAAATGGTATGTGATTGTTTTAATGTATTTCTGAATTTGGTTTGCTAATATTTTGTTGAGGATTTTTACATCTATGTTTATCCAAGTTATTGGCCTATAATTTTCTTTTGTTGGCAATGTCTTTAGTCTGGTTTTTGAATCAGGATAGTAGTGACCTCATAAGGTGGGCTGGGGAGCCTTTCCTCCTACTAAATCTTTTGGAATAGTTTTAGGATAGGTTTCAATTCTATTACATGTTTGGTAAAATTTACCCGTGAAGTTATCTGGTCCAGTACTTTTGCTTGTTGCGAGTTTTTTGATTACTGCTTCAATTTCATTGGTAGTAATGAGTCTATTCAAGTTTTCTGTTTCTTCCTGATTCAGTCTTGGAAGATTGTATGTTTCTAGGAATTTATCCATTTCTTCTAGATTGTTCAATTTGTTGACGTATAATTTTCATATTATTTTCTTACACTTTTGTGTTTCTGTGGTGTCAGTTACCACTTCTCTTTCATTACTGATTTTATTTACTTGGGTCTCTTACGTGTTCTTAATAGGTCAGATTAAAGGTTTATTAATTTTGTTTATCTTTTCAAAGAATTATATAATTGAATTCATATGGTTCTTAAAAAGTATTGCATAAATCCATTCTATCAAGTATTCCTATATAGGCTTCAAGTGGAAAAAAATAAGCTGTGGAACAGTATTATAGTGTGATACTATTTATATAAAATGTACACACATACACCTCTGTACATGCTTCTATATGTGTATATATATGTATACAGACACATATATATAAACACACACACACTGATTACTGTGTGTAATCATTACTTTCATAATAGTAATAATATAGACAATAATGAAAATAACAAACAAGTTAAGCCACAAGCAGACAGTCTGGACTCAACAATCCTTAATGTTTTAATTTCAATCTGGAATCAATAATCCTTAATTTTTTGAGTTTTTATCACCCATTTTGCAAAGATAAGCTTTTCATATCTGCTTCCTGTCATCTTTCTTCCTTCCTTCCTTCCTTCCTTTCCTCCCTCCCTTTCTTTTTTTTTAAGATTTAATTTATTTATTTAGAGGGGGGGGAGAAAGAGAGGGAGAGAAGCATCAGTATGTGGTTGTCTCTCATGTGTGCCCTGCACTGGGGACCTGACCTGCAACCCAGGCATGTGCCCTGACTGGGAATTGGACTGGTGACCCTTTGGTTCACAGCCTGGGCTCAATCCACTGAGCTACACCAGCCAGGGCCTTCCTTCCTTCTTTATTGGATTCCTTCTCACCGCTTTGATACCAGCTATAAAATGTGTGCCTTGCAAGGCAGCATTCCAGAATCATGTGTTTTCGAGGATTTGAATGCAGAGATTCAAATTTGACCTTGACTGGCTGCATTTCTGTTGCTCAGAGTATTTCCTACAGAATGACCACACTGATTTCATTACATTTCAGGACAGTTTCTGGAAGAAGGTGCTAATAAATCAGAAGGGGACGCACTTCCTCACCGTCTGTGAGCCTGTTCTTCTCATGCCCCTTAGCTCTTATGGAGAAGGTCCTGGAGATGAAGGCTTCCGACAAGAAGTCCACCAAAGGCTGAGGGGGCCACCCTTCCACAGCTCTGTGTCTGCAGAGGAGCAGGTCTGAGGCAGGGTCCCACTGCACTGGTCCCTGCTCACACTTCTTCAAGGATGTTTGTGTGCAGCTTTACTATTCTCCCTCTTATTTCTCCTCTTCTTTTACCACCCCTTTATACACACATGTGCACACAGCTGAGAATAAACACTGATCTGTCTTGTGAAATCTGCACCCCAGGACCACAGAGGAAGACAGAGGTTACTGGGTGAGAGGCCAGGTGGCTTTGGAGTCAGATACCTGGGCTCCCATCCTAGTTCTGCCATTTACTGCCTGTGGGATCTCTCGGTGGTGAATTGGTCAACCTCCCTACTCCTCAGTCTCTTCACCTGAAAAACGGGACTGGTAATGACCTCTGCCTCCAGCCTGTGGTTTGAGTGTGTAAGAACATGGCCCGTGGAAGTAGTAGAACAGACACTGGTGGTCCCTAGACCTTCTCTTCCCAGGAGAAGGCCAGGACTGAGAACGGAATGCAGCAGAAGAAATGTGGAGCTAGAACAGGTTGCGGCAAGCAGATGGTCTGGAACAGTGAGAAGACAGGAAAGAGAGGATCAGACAGTGGTGGAGTGGTGGTTCCCATGTGTCGGGGGTGCTGGGGCATATGTGTGATATCCACATAGTGATTTCTTATACAGAGACTGTGGGCCAGAGCTGAAGCTACTTCCAATGACAGGCCACTGACAAGAGGGGTTCCATTACGAACAGGGCAGCCAAATGTAAATCCCAGCACACAAGGAAAGATGACCAGTCAATGAATACCTGGGGAGTTATCTACTAAGTGTCTGTACCAGGTCCTGTGAGGACAACGATGTCTAGCACTTAGTGGACACTTGTATGTTTGATGGCTAAATGAACAGATGAGAACAGGTACTGAAGACCTACTATGTGCCAGGTAGCAAAATAGGTAATATACCTATCCTGCCTCATTTAACTGTCCTTATACTCACCAGGACAGAGACTTTATCCCCATTTTATAAATAAGAGAGCTGAGATACAGACAGGTTATGGGACTTTCCCCAAATCTCACAGCAAGTAAGTAGAAAGGCCAGCCTGGCTCCAAAATCTGCCCACTTTCAATTAGACCATACCCCCGCCCACCTGTGGCCTAGAGAGCTATTTCTGACCCAAAGGATCAGGTGATCTAATTGGAAAAACCGGCCTATACAGGAAAAGTGAAGATAGTGATATCCAGGTTGAAGAGCCCAGGCCGGGGCACACAGAGGGCCCTCCCTCGTGGGGGAAGCAGTGGAGAGCGTGTGTTAGAGCACTGCCGGGATGGAGAGAAATTCCTCCCAACTGAGCCACGGGCGGTGACTCAGGAGGCCGTGGGCCTTTTTAAACCCTGCATTTGCTTCCCTCCTTGAAAGTGAGCCCTCACTCTGCCTATCTTCACGACTCAGCCCTGCTCTAAGCTCACACAGTGAAGTTCATGATGAAGGCCTGAAAAGATTTCCGGGATGGGTGGCAGCTGGTCAGCACTCTGACAGGTTTTAATTGGACCATGTTGGAGGGTAAGTGGGACGATTGTGGGAGGACCATCAGAACTCAGGCCTGCCACTCCAGTCACGGGGCTCTGAGGGGCGGAGCCTGTGGCTTAAGGCCTCTCTGAGGGCCTGCCCCACACCGAGTTACAGAATCCCTCTTTTCCAGTGGAGATCCTGCTCTTCTGGAAGGCGTGGTGGAGGTTAAGGCTTCCGGTGGCCACAGTCCATTCTTCGGCTCTGTCCAAAAGGCTGCCTGGACCTGGTGACAGGGCCTCTGGGGCCTCTTAGCAGGGTCTTTCCCCTAGTTCAAACTTGTCCATGAAGAATACGGCTTCAAAGGGTGGGACCTGCCTGCTGGGGTCACTGCCATGATTCTTTCCTCCCTGTTGGGGCACTGGGCCTCATTCATGACTCTCAACCTCTACAGAGGCAGCCAATCCCCTTTGACTTTTCTTGCCAGGGTGAGGGTAGGCTTGGCCGTGAACAGTTCTGAAATGACCCTGGGAGCTGACCAACTGCTGCCATCTCTCTGTGCTCCAGTTTTCCCATTCGTAAGACAGAGATAATACCAATAATACCTCCTGCCCCATGTAATAATAATAGCCAGCATTTACTGAGGGTTTAGCTTATAGCAAGCTGGGCGCCAAGAGCTTCTGCATGCTATCCCACTTAATCCTCACACAACCCATAAGGCCGTAGTACTATCACCATTTTATTATGACACACAGGTGAGTGAACCCAAAGTAGAAAGCTTATGTACTTATCCCAGGTCACAAATTACTACAGGGTGGAGCTGGAATTCAGAATAAGGCCCGCTTTCTCCAGGGCAGGCCTGGAGAAAGCCTCGTGTTCTTCACTGTTGTGTAACACAGAGGAATAGTTAAAATATATCAAGGCCTTAGCACATAGTATGTGCTCATTAAATGGTGGCTCTGTATCTTTGACTTATTATTCACTTAATAAATTACTACGTAAACTGTGTCATAAAACTGAAAGAGGACAACCAAGGCCAGCTCTTTGGGATTTTTATAGCTTCAGTTCACCTTTACCCTATCAACACCTTTTCCAAGTGGAAGTTTTAACTGCTTTCCTCCCTTCTTTTCTTCTGGACCCTGAAGCATTTGTTTAACAAAAAAAAAAAAAGAAGAAGAAGAAAGAGGAGGATGAGGAGGAGGACGAGGAGGAGGAGGAGGACGCGGAGGATGAAGAGGACGAGGAGAAAGAGGAGGAGAAAAGGGAGGTGAGGGAAGTCTGTCTTCTTGTTCTTGGTTTAATCCCCTCTGACAGATCATTTATTTCCTCTTTCTTACCCTTTTAGAAATTCCTAATTAAGGGCATGTGTGAAGGGCAGCGAGTCCCTTTTAAGGAGTATCTCACTTTGGGGCTCTGGAGGTCCCCATACCCCTTCCAAATTGGCTTCTGCTTCCTTTTGGGCTGCAGGGCTGGCCATTGACATAATCAGGATATTTGTCTCTGTTTCTAGTGTCCATTTCTGCCACGGTGTCCAGGACCACAGCCACAGAACTAGCCAGCACCAAAGGCCTTTACCCCAATAGAGAAAAGGTCTGAGTTTAAGGAGGCCAAATTAGGAAATGGAGGGTCCAACCCCTCTTCGCACAGTGATCAAAAGACACAGGGGGCAGTGCCCCTGGTGGTTGCCTTGGCTCTAGCCCCTTGCCTTTGCAAACCTTGGGGGGAGCTGGGCTCCACCTCCACAAGTGTGCCAGTGCACATGTGCACAGCACGGGCCTGTGGGGTTGGGAGGAACACAGCGCTTAGAGTCCCGTGGGCCTGCCTCTTCCCATCTCTGGAAACTAGAGGTCTTGCCTCCAGGCCTTGCTTGTTAGTGTTATACCCAGCAAGGAAAATTACAGCTAGGGCATTACCCAACCCTAAATCTGCAGTTCCTGGAACAGGGTAATGAACAAACATCCGGGAACAATTGGGTTTAAAATTCTAGCCAAATAAGGTAACTAACCCGAGCCCGCCAGAAAGTGCCCGCCAGCAGCAGCACCCACCAATCAGGGACCCTCGCCGTTTTTAAATAAGCCAGTAGCTAACCGCCACCTCTGCTTCTGTATGCCTTTGCTTGCTTGCTAGAAAATATAAATACCCAGTAGTCTGTAAGCCAGGCGCGACTTCCATTTTGTAGCTCTGAGTAGCCACGTGACTCCGGTCACAGTTGGGGAAGTTCGCCCCTGCGCAGGAAAATCTTTGGCCTATAAATTTTTATCAATTCGGTTCCGGACTCCGAGAGTGTGTATTTACCCGCCGATCGTCTACAACATTAGGAGTCGATGATGGCGCCGCCTCTTCAGGGTCTACTGGGACTAGGTGTGTGAATGCGCTACCACCCAGCAGTTCCAGGCACATAATTGGTGCTCAGAGGTCGGCCATTTTATGTCCTGTCCCCACTGTGGATAAATCACACAAGCCCTGTGTCAGGCACAATGTCTAGTTTTGGGTGTGAAAAAGCTGTACTTTGCACCTAGGATCTGGGATGTGTGTTTTGGGTATGGGGTTGACCACACCCTAAGTGTGGGGACCAGGGGACCAGGGGGACCAGGACTGAGCACCTTGTGGATGCCTGAGTCCAAACCAAACAAGGAGGAAAGGGGAGAGCAAAGCCTGCAAACATGAGCCCTGGGTCTGGGGGGGGGGGGGCGAGGAGTTCTGTAGCACCTGGGGGGGGGGGGCAGCTGTCCCCGACCGGCCAGCTGCTTTCATGTCATTTGGCTTTTTTTGGTCACATCTGATTATTCTAAGGAAGCATAAATGTTGGGTTTTAGTTGGAAACTTCTTTTTAAAGCTGGATGGATCTCCCCAGCATAGACCTCACATCTGCCTCCCCAAAGTGGCTGCTGGGGAGGGGCTTCTGCTGGTGCGAGTTCTCTGGAGTCCCCCTCTATCCTCCTTACCACGTGTATAATCTCTCTCCCCACGAATCACGGGCCCAGTGTTTGTGGACTCCCAGGGAGAAAGGCGTATGGATTACTCTGTCTATGCCCTACAGAAATCCAGAAATGGGTCACTCTTTCTTCCTGTTCTTCACTATGACAGCTGCCAGAAAGTAATCAGGTACTGGTGGGACATTTCTTCACATTTAGGTCATGCTACAGGAAGAGAGCTGGGAGGAGAGGGAGGGCCGGGGTCTTGCTGCAAGAGCAGTTTGGGATCCAGCTCCTAGAACCCATCATATGTTTTTCTGGTGCTCTCTGAACTCATAAGAATTGGTTTTGGGCCTTGAAAGTGATCTTGCCCATGATTGCGGGATCACGTTAGAACACAAACGTGTTCCAGTTTAAAACACAAAACCTACTAACTGCACTTCCTCTGATACTCCAGGAGGGAAAACCACACCCAGAGAGGCTCTCTGGCTTTTGGGGTGGGAGGGGCGTGGAGCAGGGGCGTGGAGCAGGGGCGGGAATGACACAGCGCCACCTAGAGGTTGGGAGCGCAGTCAGGGAAAAAAAACCTCCTGCAGTCATCCTGACCCCAAAACTGCCCTGTTTTCACTGGGACTGGGTTATTGTCTAGGTTTAAGCATTCAGGAAGCCCTGGAAAAAGTCTCTGTGTTTGTTCTCAGCCATAAATCAATGAGAAAACTAAAAGGAAACCTAAAGCTTAATTCAACTGCTACTTGTCTCCTTCCCCAATCCAGATTTGATTGAACAATTTTCCTCTCCTACTCTTAAGGAATTTTAATGTATTGGATTGGACTGGCCCAGGAAATAAAATAACCATGGCAGATTAGGTCCTCAGGATTGTCGAATCAGGTGTTCTCCAAGCGGGGGGCGATGTTTTGGCCCATGAAATGTCGAGGTGCTGTCACAAAGTTTGTCTGTATCAAACACGGGAGCAAGTCTCAGCAGCACTGGCACAGCATCCTCGAAATGAGGAGTGACGTGGTTTAAATCAAAGACTGAATCAGCTATTCTGCCCTGCCAAAGGATACTGCTTTTCCATGAATTAGATTACCTGAAGGCTGGATTAGAAGAGTCTGGGCGAGGTGGGGAAATTGGATGAGTCAGTAGTCATTTGAATTAAGAGACCAAGGCCTGCTTTTTGCAAATGACATGTGTGTTTCATTTGCCCTTGTTGTGTCTGAGACAGAGACAAGTCGACTAAATCAAGTGGGCACTGACTTTTAATTGTTTTGTTTTGTTTTGTTTTTAAGACCTGTGAGGAATCTCTCCACTATTACTTGGCCCCATGGCTCTCTTTCTGTGGGTAGACACAGCTGTGGATTTGACAATGAGCTCTGTGAAAGTGAGCTCTCTTTTACAGGTCAGTGTGGGCACCTGGAGCAGACAGCAGGTGAGGATCCTCCATGGCAGGGCTTCTCAATAGCAACAGCACTATTGACAATCTGGGTGGCACAGTCTTTGTTTGGGCAAGGGGGTGGACTGTCTCGTGCCTTGTAGGCTGTTTAACAGCATCCCTGCCTCCTCCCCCTAGATTCCAGGGATACCCTCTAGTTGTGACCACCCAAAATATCTCCAAATGTTCCCAATATCCCCTAGGAGGCCTCCACTGCCTGCCTGCCTCCCTGTCAAAAACCTCTGCCCTAGGGTAACCCAGCTCCTGAGATTTGAAGCTCAGGAACTTCTAAGCAGGTAGTTCCCCATGGTTAGGGGCACAGCCATGGAATTGGATGGATCATACCTGAGAAACAACTCTAAGGAGAGCACAGAGTACATGTTTAATAAAACGTGGTGGTGGGGTTAGAGGTCACCACTGTTATTTCTCTACAGTGAAAGTTTCTCTACAGAGGGGGAAGTGAGTGCAGTTGCCATGGGACCCAGAGGCAGGTTGGAAAGGCATTCCTGGAACAGACAAGACTGAGGGGACTCAGTGCGTCCTTGGCCCCTTGTCTGGGTGGCCTCCGAGGCCCCTGCTTGGCAGGGCCAGGCTGGGGCAGGGGTATTTCCCCTTCTGCTCTCAGGCAGGTCTGAGGAATGATATGTCTGTGCCCTCCAGGTGTGACACCTGTGATTCTCACGATGACCTTCCTGATTAGTGTCTTGGGAACTGCCATCATAGGTCTGATTTTAAGGATGCAGAAAGGAACATTGCAGAGGCCAAATAGAGACATTTGGTGGCAGATCAATTATGATGACATCACCATTCTGCCCCAGAACAAGGTAAGGCCACACCTGGCCCCACTGTCCACTTTCCTGCTAACTTACGGTGATTTGTGGAAGGGACCTCATCCAGGAGCTTAGGCGAGCAGAGGCTGACTCATTTATAAAGTGAGCACTTAACAGAGAGTCCCGAGCTATGAGTTCCAATTGTAGGCCTACTACTTCCTTGCTAAATACTCTGGGAGCCTCAGGTCTGGGCCTGTTTCTGAATTCTTAGAATGATCCGGTGGTCCCTAAAGTTCCCTTCGGTTCCAGTACCCTGTGGGTGTAAGCTCACGTATGAAAGCTGGTTTTTGGAAAGCATCTGGTTATGTTCAAAACCACAGTAGCTCCTTTAATCTCCTGATGACTAAGACAACAAGGTTCATCTGCTTGACACACACGTGTTATGCATCGACTACAGCCAAACATAGCTCAAGGCACGGGGTGCACTGCAAATGAGATGCACCGGAGGGAGGCACGTGCTCCGAGAGGTGTCTGCACGCTGAGATGGGCACCTTGAAAAAGAAGGGATTCAATGTTTCAGCATTGTGAGGGCTTCAGAGAGGAGGTGATATTTGAGAACAGTGGGTCTGCTGGTGGGGACCAGGAGAGAGGTGGTAGCATAGGGGATGCCAAGGTGTGGAGTGTGCAGGGCTGGGAGGCTTGGCACACGTTTAATACCCACGGCATTATTTGGTAAGTATATACATAACATTATTTGGTAAGTATATACATGTACATAATTTCTGAAAGTACCACCTTGATGGTCTTTTATGCATATTTTAGCTTGAAATTTTCACGTGTCTTTTCTTTCTGTCCTTTTTGTTTTTGTTACTGCTATCAAACTCTGTCATCTTTGCAAGCCTATATTGATTATTCTGGAGCATTTATTGCCTAACCAGAAAGGTCAGTAAGAAATGTTCTTTAGACTAGAAAGATAGACTTAAGGCTCTGTTCTTTAATAAGGGCTTTTTGTTCTGGGAGGGACAGAGAGGGTGGGGTCAATTTTACTTTCAGTTCAATTTATTAAAAACCCAAAACTGAAATAAATTTTATCTCAAAGATCAGCAAATTTACAGCCCTGACTGCGTAGCTAGCTCAGTGGGTTGTGGGTTTGATCCCCGGTCAGGGCACATACAAGAATCAACCAGTGAGTGCGCAGATAAGTAGGACAACAAAGTGATGTTTCTCTATCCCTTCCCCCCTTTCTCTTCCCCTCTCCCTTCATCTCTCTCTCTCTCTAAAATCAATAAGAAAAGTTCAGCAATTTTACAATTTCAGCTGGAACTTGTTCAGCCATACATGCTACTCAAGATATTAAGAGATTAACAAGGTTTGTCGAGCTACTGTTTACTTAGAATTTACATATCAGAACAGATGTGTAAATCTTAAATATCTCAAAGCCAAAAAGAAAGTATTGTATCTAGAATGTTGTTGCTTTTATAAGAAGTACTAAAAGTAGACCATGGAACGAAGTTTTGTTCTAACAGATGTTAAGGTTAATTGCAAAGATTAGGAGTCTATTATGGGTCAAAAATCAAACATTCCTCTAATGATATGTATTTATTGTTCCTGTTATATTGACTTTATCTTCCAAATTGTAGTTTGTAAAATTAGTTTCCTTTTAATTGATATTCTTACATATACTATTTATTCATTTAAAAATTTATGATTTTTTTTAAAAGGTATCTCAGCAGGTACTGAGTCAGGGAGGCTCCAAAATGCTGAGACCAGGAGACTGGGGTTTATCGGTAGGTCCTTGGGGATTCTGGGGCTCACCGCTCTGCTCTTGGCGTGAACAATACATTAAGGGCATAGGTGTCATGGGCGGAATTCTGAGCCTCCTCTTCTCTCTTCAACCAAGGCAGCTCTGATCCCGCTGGGCTGGGCTGGGGCCTGAGAGTCTGCATTTTCCCTAACCAACTCCTCGGTGATTCCTATGCTGGCTTCTGTATTAGACTCCTCTTCATCAAATACAGCCTCCTATGACTATGATAATATTCCAGATCTGCTCAGTCCAATATGGTACCCACAACCACCATGTGACTATTAAACATTAGTGTGACTGGGGAACTGAATTTTAAATTTTACATAATTTTCACTTAATTGGCAACATGCGGCTAGTACCTGTCTTACTGGATAGCAGAGTGTTCGAGCGTGCGTTATTTCATTTTTGGTATGTTGCCACTGATGCCTCAGTTGTGGGCACTGATGCTTCTACTGTGTAAACTGGTACCTGCTGAAACCTGCAACATAATTCCTGCCTGCCCCCCCGTCACCCTCTCTTCCACACGCTCAGTTATGATGGCTGGCTCTGCTTAGCAAGAAGGTCAAGTCCCCCAGAGGAAAATGTTGTAAAGGAAAAAAAAATCTACCTATTCTTTGAAATGGAAGTCCCAGAGAGTAAGGGCAGAAAGCTCTAAGCAAGGGAAGACTTGTTCCTTGCTTCAAATTGGGTTTATCAAAGATTGGAGCCAAATCATTTCCTAGGCAACTAAACCTATGTTTGTACGTGTTTGCTTGAGTTTTCAAATGACGATAAAACCTCCTTGGATATTATTACCCATGAAACCCAGAGGGCCTCCATTCATATAAAACTATTGCTGTATCACAGTCCACTAGCCATTTATAGATGGAAGCCATTGACCTGTGGCAGGCCATTATGGGTCAATCTTCATAAAATGTTTCCCCTCCTCTCCCTCAAATACATCACTGGGTTCCCCACATCTGTTGACCGTATGAAAGTTTCCAAACCCTTTAACAAGGGGCTCAAGGCTCTCTGTTGCCTAGCCCCAATCTGCTTTCAGAACATTTTTTTTTTTTCCTTCTTGACCAACATCCTACACTCATCCAATTGGTCTTGTTGACTATGCCTTGTATGTTTCACTTTCAGGCAATACCAGGCCTACTGCCCCCTCCTACACCCCAGCAGGTACCTTCTTATCCTTCGAGGTTCAGCTTAAGCATCACCTCTTCCAAGGAGCCTTTCCTTCATCCCACAGGAATCCCTTCCTCCTTGGAACTCCCATCACAGCCCTGAGTTCTTTGCAGTTAATCCCATAGCAAAAGTGTGCCCGCGGTAACAGTGGCACACTCAGTTCATTACTGAGCCTTACCTTCTCTTGTGTCCAGATTCTGTCTGTTCTTCTACCCAGGTCATTCCAGCTTATGGGATATTTTTATGGTGATTGATTAAGTGACTCTAAAAGCAGACTCAGTAGGTAATAACAATAAGATATGCCATTTACTGAAAACTTGCTATGTGTCAGTCATTTAGTTAACAGTGTTAACATATCTTAAGATTTAATCCTCACAGTAATACTATGGGATCAGTATTATTTTTAATATCCATTGTACACATGAGGATATGGAGGCTGGGAGAGGTTAAATTTCATGTTCAAGGTTATGTAGGTACTAAGTGGGAGGAATGGTCTTTGAACCAGACTTACTCTTATGACCTTATTTCCATATTTCTCTGGATGATGATGGGATGTTCCAGTTCTGGCTGTACTACCTACAAATTTGTGACCTTGGACAAGTCACCTAACCTCAGTGATCCCATCTGAGAATGGACCAATCATTCCCACCTTGCAGGGCTGTGATGGCTGTTAAATTGCACCTTATGTGTTGAGCATCTAGCTCAGGGCCTAGGGCAGCGCAGTGCCATCCTCGGGCTGACTGGGGCAGTGGGGAGCTTGATGATGCTTTTCACAGGCCAACTTCTTCCCTGTCTTCCTGATCCCCTTCCTGGCTCTTTCTGAGTAGAGCTTTTTCTGAATCACCCTGGGTTAAGAACATTCTACTTTGTCTGTGGTTCTAGGGAAACCATGTGGCCATCTGCTATGTTGGTGACCGAGCAGAAAAGCCTGGATCAGGAAGCCACCTGTGCTGCAGGAAATCTGGTCCCTGAGGTCCCTGCCCTGGAAGGAGACAAAGTGATGCTGTTCTTTCACTCTCATTGCCACCTCCCTGTTCCTACCTGGCGTGGGAGGGGCCCCAGTCCACAGGAGCATGGGTGGAAAGCAGCTTCCCTTGCCTTGGTTCACCGCCTGGAGCCCCACAACAGCCCCAACTTTAGAACTCAGATTTTTTGGCCTGACTCTGGCACCTGAGGCCTGGGATACCTCCTAGCCTTGCTCATTCCCCTTAATTCTTCTTGGCCTTAATTTTGCATCTTTAGTCTTTCTCTCTGTGATAGCTGCTCCCCTCCCTTGAACCTGGTTCTCAGAGGAAGTCAGGTTCATGGGGTCTGACTTCTTGCTCTGAATCTGTGATCTGTCATTGCCCACACAGTGGTGTTGAGGCCATAAACACCAGGAAGCAGGGCTGGGTCTATTTACTGTGACGTGATTTTAATTAATCCCCATGGTTAAGGTCAGACTTTGACCTTCCTCTTGTTTATATGCCAAGAGACTGATTCTCTGGATTTGCCTCCCAGCTCTGCCACTAACAAGTGGTATGATCTTCAACATGTTACTTTAGCTTTTAGATATCAGTTTCCTCATCTGTAAAATGGGAGCAGTTAAAGTTCTTACCTCACAGGGTCTTTGGGAGAATTAACCAAAAGTTTGTAAAGCACATAGCATACATAGTTCCTAGCACAGAAGACATAATATAATCTTATGCTATTAATACCATTATTATTTTCAGGTGTATGAATTGAGGCATGAAAACATTGTTTCCTTCTTTGGTGTTTGCACAGAAGCACCCAACATCTGCATGGTCACTCAGTATTGCAAAAAAGGAAGAGTGAAGGTAAGTAAAATAGCAAATCTTACCTTGGGTTTGATTAGCCACAGCTGAAGAAGAGCCTTATTGATGCTTTTGCCCCTTGGTCTGAGAACAGTTCCTGTGGTCTAATTGCAAGACCTGAATTATCCTGTTGGGCTGCCTGCAGGGGATCAGATTAGCAGTGGAGTTGCTGAGTGTCTGGTTTCCTTTGTTCTGGATGGAAAGCATCTGAGCTTGGTTTCAGCTCCTTCGCCGTCACAGCTACCCCTAAATTGCGTCGCTGGGCCCATCCTACCCATGGTAGGTGACCATCCATTTTATGTCAGGAACAGGGATGTGTTTGTAAAACTCAAGACTGTGTAACTTTCCCAACATTGAGTTAGATTATGATATTTCCTGAAAACTTTTTCAGCTCTGTCTTGGGTTGTATTAGTTCTGATTAAAACCATCCAGTGTTTTAGAAACAAGGCCATTGAACATATGGAGCTCACTGTGCTTCAGGTTGAATCGCTGATGATATTTTCAATAACTGTGTTTTCCAGGATGTTTTGAGAACTTCTGGTGCAGAAGTGGATTGGATATTCAAACTCATTTGCATATGACGTACTCAATGTATGATTGATGTAAACTATTTTAAAGAACAAATACCATAGTGTTTTTGAATTGTTTTGTGTCGTGGATTAAATCAAACCAGAATTTTCCCCCAAATTCTGGTCCTTCTCAGATCTCCTCTTTAAGCAAAGTGACCCCACTTCTACAATCTACCACCTCAAAAAATAGATATACCACTTCAGTCAGATTTTTCAGTCTTTTCTCTTCCCTTGATCTCAAGTAAACATCAAGAGAGTAAAGTATTTTGTATCATTGTTGGGAGGGAGGTTAGGTTTGCCCAGTCAGGAAAAATTGTGGTATTTCCATTTCAGGATAGAACTTTTTACTCAAAGAAAATCTAATTACTAGATCATAAAGCAACTGGAGAAAGGATTCTGAATACCCCTTCTTTTTCCCAGGTCCTCTGTTCCTTTCCCAGAAAGTGGGGAATCAGAGCCACAGTACCCACAAAGCTGTCACACAGCGATTCTGCTCTGCAAAGTTAAAGAAGCAGGCAGAATCTTTACTTTGGGTGAAGAGGCCTGTGGTGGCTGTTAAAAAAGAGGATAATAATAATAGTAATAGCTAAAATATATTTACTTTTGCCCCAATACTTTCCAGTACTTATATATATTAATTTGCTTAATTTTCACAACAAAATATAAGGTAGATCTATTATTATGCCCATTTCACAGGTGGGAGGTTATTCAGATGGGCCATGTCAGTGTGGACCTGAGGCTGATCTCTTCAACCTGGGCTAAAATGCAGCTGTTCTTTCTAAACTCACTGCATCTGTTTTTTTTTTAAAAGATTTTTATTTATTTATCTTTAGAGAAGAAGGGAAGGAGGGAAGGAGAGAAGGAGAGAAATGTCAATGTATGGTTGCCTCTCATGAGTCCCCTGCTAGGAACTAGCCTGCAACCCAGGCATGTGCCCTGACTAGGAATCAAACCACAATTGTGTGGTTCACAGGCCCATGCTCAATCCACTGAGCTATACCAGCCAGGGCTCACTGCATCTGTTTTTACAATAGCAGGGAGGACCAATCCAGTGACCTTGGATTTGGTTCTGGTGAGAAAACCCCTAAGTGTGACAGCAATTAGGGCTGGCCACCATCTGTCAATCAACAGCCCACTCATCAGCCAGTAGACTCTTAATGGCCAAGACCCAACCTGGGTGTTGGGAGGGATGCAAAGGTGAAACAGAAGAAGCTCTGTCCTTTTGGAGTTTAGGGCCAGTGACTCACAGTGACTTTGACTTTCGGTCTCCTCTGTGGACCTCAGCCTCCATGAATGGATGATGTTGGCCTGTTGATATCCGAAGGCTTGTCTTTATTTCTCTTTGTTTCTGAGTCTTAATGGCCTTGTGAGACTTTGACTTCCTAGGCCTTAAGGGGAAGTAATTTAGACAGAAACCTTCTTGTGATTGGGTTTCTTTGGATGACACTGAGCCAACACTGTTATTTCGGTAAACTCCACTGAGCATCTGTTAATGATTTATCTTACTCTGGGCACCTTTGCAGAAAGACAAGGACTTGTTTCTAACTTTAAATGGCTTAAAATCCAGCTAGAAAAAAAAAACATGTCAGGAAATGGACATATATGGTTATTGAAATGGCAGTGGCACAGTTCTGAAATAGACTGTGACATGGCATCCCCTCCTACTATGGCTCCGCTCTCCTTCCCTTCACCCACTTCCCCTTCCCTACCCAGGAAACCCAGGGAAGTACTCGACTTCCAGTGATCTGTCTCCTGCCCCACTGAAAACAGCTGACAGAATTTATATTGGTTGTGAAGAGAAATCTAGTGAATTCTCCCCAAGGTAGAAAGTCCCAATAGACTTAGCCTTTTCAGCTTGGGCATTTGGCTATTAAGAAGCATTAAGCCAACAGTTTTTCTGGAGTAATGCTGGGGTGGGTGAGAATGAAAATTAAAGGGGAAAATCTCCTGAGTGACATCAGCTACTCCAGGTCACTGAGTCTGTCCCCTACTCTGTGCCAAAATGACAACTTGGAACCTTGTTTCAGAAGGATCACTTTCTCTTGAAATGAAGCGTGCACATAATGGGACTGTTCAAGGAAGTCATGGTGAGCTAGGCTAAGGCACGGTAAAGCCCTTTGAGACCAATGACTCAACCGGCATTCCTTGAAAGGGGACTTCAAGTAATTTCTTAGAGCTTTACCATGCTCTAAGATGACTTCGACATGAAGCCAGGCACTGGGCTGAGCTCTGTGGTCAGATTGTGCTTCTGGCCACCACAGATCAATCATAAAAACAATTTCTCCCCTGATGCCCATTCTACCAGAACCACCTACACACCAGGTATCAGAGAGATTCTGGGATGCCGCAGACTTTTCAAAATAACAGAAGTATATTGATCGAACACCTGACTTTGGTCAAACCTGATTCTGGTCTTGGAAGGCACAGAGGAGTAAGGCTCATTGTTCTATCCCCAAGGAGTCCAACCAGCCGGGGAAGAAGCTTTGGAGATATAATAGTCTTCTTAAGTGAGAGATGGGTCTCCCTTTCTAAGGAAGAGGAGTCTTGATGCATTAAGAGGATGGAGGGCAGCTGACAGAGAAGTTGTCTTGGTGGTTCGAAGCCTGGCTCTGCTACTTACTGACCAGGTGACCTTAACCACCCTGAGCTTCAGTGTCCCTGTGAATGAAATACAGAAACAGGAGCACCTACCTCACAGGGTTGTTCTGGGGACGAAAGCATGTAGAATGGTTAGAACCATGCCCACTTCATTAAAGGTATCCAGTGAATATTGTCAGTATTAGTAGGGCCAATATTGTTACTGTTTCCACAGATAACTCCATTACTAGTATTAAAAAACATGTACTTTCTTATTTTATTCCTTCACCGGTCCTGTGGGGTAAGTCTGCACTGTCCAGATATAGCAGCCACCAGTTCCAAGTGACCATTGAACCCTGGCAGCATCTCCAAAGGAGATGCGCTCTATGTGTGAAGTACATACCAGATTTGGAGGACTTAGGAAAAAAATGAAAATAAAATATCTAGTATTTTTCTGTTGATTGCATGTTAGAATGATAATATTTTAATATATTGGATTAAATAAACTATATTAGTAAACATAATTCCACCTGTTTAATGAAAAAATTAAAAATATACCTGTGGCTTGCATTATATTTCAAGTGGATGGTGCTCTAAGCTATTCACAGTGAACTTGATTATTAATTCACCAACTCCAATATTGATATTAATATTTACTCCATTTCATAGGGCAAATACGAGACTTAGCTGGGTGGTGTAAACTGCCCAACTGGTACGAGGCACAGCGGGGCTCGCAGCCAGTCTGGGTCTAGAGCTGGGCTGTGCTACATCTCCTCCCCGTCAAGTGCCAGAGAGCACAGATAGATAGGAGCCCTGGGGCCACCCCCAAGTTTCTAACAGGAAAACAAAATGTAACTAGCAGACGGGTAGGTGGTAGAATTGCCAAATGCATAACACCTGGCACATAAGTCACATGCCTCTCATAGTTCAGTTCATTCTCCAATGATGTACATGCCCTCGTGCATTTCCGTCAAGCCAGAAGAACAACCACAACAGAGAGATGTGTTGTCTCCCAGAGAGGACTATAGGCCTAGGATTCCGAGTATCCCCAAACAAGTGGTTTATGTGTGGAATGAGCTCTACTAATGACCCTGATGTCGGGGTGGGGGGGTCAGTGGCAACTGGAATGTAAACTGTCCCATGCCCGGGGTTGGCCTGGCAATAGTGTGGCAAGGGATGGCGGTGGGTGTCAGGGGCAGTCCTCATTCACGGCGAGGTCTCTGTGAGGTCAGTGAGGACTCTGGGTGGGACATAGGTCTCCCCAGGTTTCAAGCCCAGGCCTGGCCAGTGGGTGCCTCCCTGGAGAAGTTCCAGAGAACTCTACCCAGGCCCTTCCAGGTCCAGCTGAGTGGGTTGCATGTCCAAAATGTGACTCACCTTTATTATCTCACAGAAACAAGCCACGATGATAGAGGAATGAAAGTTCTTGATTTGCCGGGTGGGGGCAACGGCAATGTTGGTGTGTTCTCTGTCCTGTAAGTTTCCTTATTACTTTCTGTATTAGCCTGTATTTCTAAGGCAGTATTGGCTGAGGGGTCCTGCCGAGACGGTGACTCAGCCTGGCATCACTGCTGAGGAAGAGGTGAGTCCCTGAGCTGGTGCCCAGGAGGTCCAAGGACCTTGTCTCAGGGTGCAGTAGTCCACTCAGGAGCCCTCCACACATTCCTTGTTGCTAGAACATTGAGGGCCAGGGCTTCCTCGTGGCCACACCCATGAGTGACTTCCTCTCTTCTAAGCTGGGCTTGAGATTCACTTGAACCTGGCTGTTCTTGTATAAGGGTGTTAGGAGAATTAGGTGCACTTTGACCCACCCTCCTCTTCCTCTACAATGGAAATGGCAAAATCTAATGATTTAGAGGAAGCTGGGCTTCGCAGGCAACCCAGTCTGGGTTTGCATCCCAGCTCTGCCCTCGCTCCTTGGGAGCAGTTTAAAACCCTAAGTTTCCTCATTATGAAACAAAGAAGGAGCATATTAACCTCCCTCAGGAAAGGCTAAATGTCATACACTGTATAAGGTACCCTGTTCCCAGTACTTCAGTGCCCATCTCAGACAGTCTCAAAAGAAGGGTTTAGGGTTACTTATTTGGTCATCACGAATTCATATTATAGCCTGGATGTCCATGGAACCTTGTGGCTAAAATGAAGTAATCACTTCTCTCTCTCTACCCTTCACAGACTTTTTTTTTAATCAGCAAAGGAGCGTTGGTCAGGGGCCTGGACTTGGGAGTCACACTGCAGAATTCCCAGTCCAGCACCACTGCTGCCGGCTGTGTGACCTGGGCCAAGTTCATTTCTCCCTTTTCTTATCCATAAAAGGAGGTTGGCGAGAGTATCACCTGCCTCCAGGAGTCCCTAGGGGTTACATGGGCTGGGTTATGCAAGGGACTTAGGGTGCTACCTGGCACACGGTTAGCACTCGGAACCCAAAACAACAACAAAACAGATCTGGTAAAAGCCTGGAGAAAGAGGTGCCATAGTCTCCCCTTGCTCTGAAACCTCTCATCTGAGGCAAATGCGAGGAGGCCCAGGCGCCCTGGGCTGATGCAGGTTAATCGGCTCGGCGACAGCCCTGTACCTGTGACATATTGAGGCTGTTGGCTCTCTGCTAGTTTCCAAACAAAATATTCTGAAAATAAATGATTCAGAGATTCAGATTAGATAGGTAGAGTGACATTACGTCCGTACTTTAAGTCCTAGAAACTGCCTTTCTCATCAAGCCATGGAGGAACATAAAGAAATGAAAACTGAAACAATGACCAGTGAGTCTTTCTATCTCCCCGGCCTGTTATGGTTGGCTTCCAAGATGCAGTGAGTCATTTTCCCTTAACCTCCATGCCACCACTTCCAGGTCTGCCCTTGGAAACACCAGAGAAGTGCAAACACCTGCCTTTTGGCTCGCGTTTCAGACACAACAGTTCTCATTTCCCAAATTGGTCTCTTCTCTGTGTCCTTCCCAAGCCATTGTTTCCCTCCTCAACTGCAGGGCCTTCTTCTGACCCCTCTCTGCTCCTGGGAAGACCCTCCCCCCATCTCCTTGCTGAGGGAGAACTATCACTGCCTTCTAAAAAAAATTAAGTTTATTGGGGTGACGCTGTGGAATAACATTATCTAAGTTTCAGGCGTACAGTTTGATAACACATGGTCTGTATATTGCATTGTGGGTTCACTACCCAGAGTCTAGTTTCCTTCTGTCCCTGTGTATTCGACCCCTTTTACCCTCTTTATCTCCCCCCTTCCCTCTGGTGACCATCATACATACTGTGGTCGGTGTCTGTGAGTTTGTTTGTTCATTCATTGCTTTCTGTCTTAGATCCCACATAGGAGCGGGAGCATCTGGGGCTTGTCCTTCTCTGTCTGACTTAATTCCCGTAACGTGATTCTCTCAAGATCCATCTGAATTCTTGCCAATGGCATATCTCATGTTTCATGGCTGAGTAGGATCCCATTGGATATACGTGCCGCATCTTCATGATCCCATCATTCACTGAGGGACACCTAGGCTGTTTCCAGGTCTTGGTGGTTATATCCTTGCCTTTCTGACTCACTTCCCTTGGTAAGCATTTCCAATTAATTGCATACTCTTTATCATATTTATACATGTTTCATTATAATTTAAGTGGATATTTACTTTGTGTCATACTCCATGTCTGGTGTCTCATGTGCGTTATCACGTCTAATTTCCACAGCCACCCTGTGGGGTAGGGTTCATGGCCATTGCCATTTTAATGAGAAGAAGGAGACCTGACAGAGTTAAGGTAAGGTGCCCTCTCCTAAGTGGTAGAGCTGGGATTTGAGCTCAGGAACCTGAGCACTAGGCTATATTTATTTTAAGATGGTCTTGCCTTCATGGTTCCACACTGAGGGACTAGACAATGTTTTCTTCTTTTTGAGCGTCTGTGACCTGCTTGACTTCTTAAGGGAGGGGCTGTGTCAGTGGTTCTTGGACAAATGAACAGAGTAGCTATGCTGCCTACCCTGGGTCCGTGCGTCTGTGTTCCTTTCCACGTGTCTCCCCTTCCACTGGTGTCGTTGCCACTTGCTCTAATTTACTTGCTCATTTTCACCCCCCAGGGCTTGCTGTTCCTTCATAGGAGCCCACTGAGGTTCCATGGAAACCGGAAGCCTTCCGGCTGCCTGGTGGACAGTCGGATGTGGGTGAAGCTGTCTGGGTTTGGGCTGTGGGAGCTCAAGGATGGCCAGACATACAGAACGTATGAGAAAACAATGGCCCACTCCAGTAACCACAGGCGGGTCCTGGACCCACCAGCCGTGGACAGAGTGGGAAAGAGGTTCCTTATCCCACTTCTGCTTTCTGATGCTCACGGGCACCTTCCTCTGGAGTTGGCGGCGTGCGGCTGCTCTGCTCACCAAGGCGACGAGAACCGGTGGCAGGGGTTGCTGGGGTGATGTCTGAGTTAGCAGAACTAGTTGTCACCCCTGCTCAGCTGGGTGACGGAAACGAGTCACGGTCCTCGTCTGTAGTCCTCTCTGCCCCATCACAGCTTCCTACCTTCTCAGCGTGGAGTGACGATCTGCCATGCACTCTGAGGGTGGAGAGTTCAGCAGTTCTCTGTTCTCTCTGTGTTCCCGCATCACTTGAGAAGCTTTCAAAAATACGTAGGGTAGAAAACTGTACTTGAGGAGCAATTAAAAAAAATACACGGGCTGGGTCCCACCCCACCTCCACCGAGTCAAAAGATGGGGTCTGCGCATCATATCGCTGTTAAGAGCTCCCAGGTGGTCCTGGTGAGACCCACTGTCTGGAGTCCTTCTCACGAGAGCAGCGGAGGCTCGGGGACTGTTCCTGTGTGCCCAGAGTTAACCGAGTGCTCTTGAATCTCACCTCTGTTGTGACCAGGCCCTGTGCAGCCCAGTGCCCTCAGCGCTGACCAGCTCTCCCTGGAGCAGCCTGTGGCCAGCAGCTTCGCTGATTGTGTGTGGGAGGTTCTGTAACAGGATAGGATGTGTCTTCCAGAGAAAGACACGGGGCAATTCCAGGACTCGCCAGAAGCCACTCCCACTTCTCCATCTTCCGATATATTTTGCTTTAATAATTATAACCTATAATAACATAAACCTGTACACATTACTGCAAATAAAGGAATGTGTATAAAATATCCAGAATAGGTAAATCTGGAGAGAAAATGTGGACTGGTGGTTTTCAGGGGCTGGGGATAGAGAAGAAGGGGAAGCTGACTCATGGGTACGGGGTTTTACTGTGGGGGACGCAGGCGTTTCGGAACTGGACGGAGGTGGTGGTCACACAGCATTGTGCATGGGCCAAATGCCGCTAAATTGTTCACTTTAAACTGATTCATTTTATGTCGTGTAGGCAATTCAGAAGCGGAAAGGAACAAGAAAAAACACCTGTCACTGCATAGCCATGAGTTGCCCACTGTTAGCCTGTTGGTGCCTGTCCTTCATGGTTATTTTCTCTGTAGTCACATCCTTGGACCCCTCCTTGCCTTTGAAGTCAGGCTCCATGGGGGCTGACGTCTCAGGGGCTGGATGCTTTTGTTTCTCTCGAGCTTCCCTGAGATAGAAACAGTGGCTTTCCCATTCTGCCCGGAAGCTTTCTCCCTGCAGGCCATGGTCTCTTTGCTTTGCAGAGGTCTATTGGACAGCCCCAGCGCTGTTGTGGCTCCCAGAGGCGCCCGGTCGGGCACCTCCAAGGGAGATGCACAGCTTTGCTGTTCTGATGAGGGAGCTGATGCACCAGCATGACCATGGGCCTTTCCATGATCGCGACGAGACACCGGACAGTAAGGTGGGGAGCGTGTCCTGGGCCGGTTTTGGTCATCAGGGTTGGTTTGTAAAGGCTCGTTTTATTGATTGTTTTATTAAATGTGCATTCATTTATAATTTATTGCACTCTTATTTTTAATTCCTTTTTAAAAAGAATTAGAAATCAATTGCAATTTGATTTTAAGAAACCAAGGAACTCAGAATTATGTAACTTATTCTGTAACAGCAGCCAGATCCTGTTAGAAAATGTGTAAGATTGTGCTGGTTCTCTGCACAGTATCCTCCCCTGGCTTCCCATTTGGAGAATGAAAACTAGGTCCTTACAATGGCCTACATGACCACCAGAGGCCACTAAGCCAGCCTGGGTGACCTATGCTCGTGTCCTAGGGCCACCATAGTAAGTTCCCATAAGCCTACAGCCTGGCTTGAAATAACGGAAATGTATTCTCTCATAATTCCAGAGGCTACAAGTCCAAAGTCAAGGTTCAGCAGGGTTGTGCTTCCTCTAGAAGCTCAAGGGTCCATCCATTCTTGCTCCTCCCAGCTTTTGGTCGCTGCCTGCCTGCCTTCATGGGCTGGAGGCCACTTGGCTCCAATCTGCCCCCATCTCCACATTGACTCCTCCTTGAAGTCTCTCTCTGTTGCCGGTCCCCTGTAAGGACACTCATCCTCGGATTAGGGTCTACCTGGATAATCCAAGATGATCTCCTCAATCCAAGACACTTAATTATATTTGCAAAGACCTATTTTTTTTCTCAAATAAGGTCAAAGTCCCAGGTTTTGGGGCTTAGAAGATGGCCAGGTAGATGTCTTTGGGGACCACCATTCAGCCCACTACCCCACGCTCTTCCTTTCAGTCACACTGGCCGAGTTCCTGCCTCCACACGCCTGTAGTGCTTCCACCCCAGAGCCTTTGCACATGTGTTCCCTCTGCCTGAGTGTCTCTGGCCTTGTATTTGCATATGCAAATTTGCCTTATTCTTTATTAAGGACTACACAATTTTGCATTGCAAGGATGTGCCATATATTGTTGATTGATACACATCTTGGTTGTTGGCCATTTTTTGCTGTTACAAATTGCTGCTATGAGCATCCTTGGACATATGTGAATGTTTTTTCAGGATAGATTTCTGTCCATGAACGTGAATAAATAAATGTATTTAAAACATACTTATTATTATTATTTTTTTTGTAAATGCTGCCCAGTTGTACACAAAGGGTATATTCAGGCTTTTTTTGTTGCGGGGTCAGGGGTGGGGGCAAAGGTAGGTTATCTCTTAACACATTCCACCAGAGAAATTAAGAGTAAAATTAGTAGGAAATGGAGGAAAATTTGATCAAGACTGGAAAAATGTAACCCCCTGGAACTGTTATTTTGTGCCTTGGCTGCACGTTGGAACTACACAGGGAGCTGGGGGAGCTACTGATGCCTGGCTCTCCACCCCAGAGGTTCTGACGCCTGCCCAGGCAGCAGGGTTTTAATGATGCTACCCTGCCACTCAGGCTGAGGACGTGATCTTGGGGAGACAATAGAGGTGTGCATGCGCTTGCGAGTTTCTGTGGACACCCAGCCCAGCTTCCTTTCTTGATATTTTTTTTCCTTTTTTCCTCCTTGCCCACCATTTCCAGTCCATCCCCAATGGCCTAACTCAAGTCTTGTCTTTAGACCAGGGAGCCTTTTTCAAGTCAGGAGGCTTTCTGAATGTAGGTAGTTGCTTTGGAAGTAGATTCCAGTTCCTAATGTATGCCTAAATGAAGCGGAGGTGAGAGTAATCCAGAAAGGTTAATCCGGGATCCAGGTGCCTGTGACTTGTGAAACAAGCAGCTACAACAGATCTTCCCAGGCTGAGCCTAGGGGAGCCCGCCTACCCCAGCAGCTCAGCGGTGCTGCCACTGAGCCAGCCACCACCAGCCGGGAGGCAGGGCAGAGGGGGGGTAAGAAGGTTGAGGACATGCAGGATACTTCCCCCTCAGGGCAGTTCTCTGCTCGCAAAGTTAAATGAGAGCTGGCCACATGGGCGAGTGTATACACAGGACTGGGAGGAGGAAAAGTACAGTGTGTGCCTACTTTATGGACCAGCAGGCTCCTGCTATTAACGTCTCATACTTCCTTACAGATAATCCTGTGTGCCTGGGGCTGAGTAAATACTGAGACCGGACACTAGACCTGGTCTGCGCACACTAGGCCAGACGCTCTTGGACGCTGCTGGGCATCCATGTTGCCTGGTTTGTTAAAACAGAACTCTGGGTCCCACACTCAGGGTTTCTGCGTCAATAGGTCTGGGGTGGAAGCTGAGTGTTTGCGTTTTTTGCCAGTTCCCAGCTGGTGCTGAAGAGCTGCAGTTGGCGAAGCACTGGTCTAGTGCGGTCCCTGGACCTGCAGCAGCCGCATCACCTGGGAACTGGTTAGAAATGCGAATTTTCAGGTCCTGATCCAGAACTTGTGGAAACTGGGGAGGTGGGTCTGGAGTCTGCGTTTTAACAAGCCACCTGCCAGGTGTTTCTGATGTATGTGTATACTAAATTGTGTGTACACGTGGGAGTACACCGACATCTACCCAGCTGTATTCATATTAAGCTAAACTCGAGCTCATACTGACATCTCCAATGTCGTTACCACGCGATTCATTTATTCTGGTCTCCCCCATCGCTTACCCACAACCTTCCTTTGCAACAGTGAGACCCTGGCTCCCCCCATCCATTTACTTACTTATTCAACCCCGTACATGTGAACGACACTTTCAGACTTATTGATCTGTACCCCGGGAGCAGCCTTCTCACCAACAGGAGTGCAGTCATTGTGAACAGTTCCTTTCATCTTCAGTCTTACCGTCTCCAGTCATTTCAGAAGTTTCCTAAGTCAGCGGTTCCCCCACCTGCGCCCCCTTCAGTGAGGTTCTGCCATCCATGGGTAATGCAGTAAGATCGCTGTGTCTGGAGTCTGCATTCTGCCTTGGGCCATCCAGTCTCCCAGCTGACAGATTCTTTTTAAATTAACAATCTTTAAGGTTCCGTCTTTATGCTCTACAGTTCTGTGGGTTTTGGCAAATAGGTAGTGTTATGTATCGAACATTGCAGTACTATACAGGATAGTTTCACCACCCTAAAAACAATTCTGGTCCTTCTTCACTGATTCAACCCTCTCCCCTCCCCAGACTCCTGGCCGCCTCTGATCTGTTTTCTGTCTCTATAACCTTGTCTTTCCCAGAAGATCACATAAACAGAATTGTACAGAATCTAGCCTTTATAGACTAGCTTCTTATACTTAATAATACACATTCAAGATGCATCTATATTGTTGAGCCTAACAGTATTTTCACACCAAAACGTGTACATTGTTCTCAAAATGTTTCCTTTACAAAACCTGGTTAAGTAGAATATTTAATAAATTTTGGTAGAAGTCAGTGAGAAAGTGAAGGAAGGTATGTTTACAAAGTTGGACATAGTCAGGACATATAGGTAACATTTATTTGTTAAAATATCTTTTATGTAACATTTATGGAGCAACCTGTATAAAGCACACTTTGGGGATTTCTAATATGAAATGCTTATACACTTCTGAAATTATACAGAGAAATGTTTCACCTTAAGAAAAGTTTTATTAGAAATAAATCTAAAACCAAATTAATAGGGGGTTACTTATATGATTTTCATTTAGATACCTCATTTTTTCAGGAGGATTCAGGATACTATAAAATATTCAGATTTCTCTGAAATTCTGATCTGTTCACTCTACTTGGAGACTCGGTTTACAAATTTGGGAGCACATCTGTTTCAAGTGAAGCGCGGCGAATGGCACAAAGTCCCGACACTGGCCTGTCTCAACCCAACACCAATTTCAGAACTCATCCATCGAATCAGAGACCCCACAGGCTCAGTCCTGCCTCGACTTTTCCTGTCGGAGGAGAAGGGCAATGAAAAGGTCGTGGCCCTGGGGAGGGCGCACTGGGGTGAGTCTCCAGAGAAGAGGCCTCCACTCTGTTCCATCAAGAAAATGCTATGAGGCCCTGGCTGGTGTAGCCCAGTGGATTGAGCGTGGGCCTGCGAACCAGAGTATGGCGGTTTGATTCCCAGTCAGGGAACATGCCTGGGTTGCAGGCCAGTTCCCAGCAGAGGACGCACGAGAGGCAACCATACATTGATATTTCTCTCCTTATCTCCTTCCCTTCCCCTCTAAAAATAAATAAATAAAATCTTAAAAAAAAGAAAAGAAAAGAAAATGCTACGAATCCTAGTCACTAGACCACCAGGGAGTCCAATTTTTAAAAAATATTTATTTATTTTTAGAGAGGTGAAGGGAGGGAGGAAGAGAGGGAGAGAAACATCAGTGTGTGGTTGCCTCTCATGCAGCCCCTACTGGGGACCTGGCCTGCAACCCAGGTATAGGTACTGACTGGGATTGAACCAGCAACCCCTTGGTTCGCAGGCCCTTGCTCAATCCACTGAGCTATGCCAGCCAGGTCCACTGAAATATGAACAGTGAAAGGACAGCAAACTCACAGTTATTAACAACCACACCTAAAACAAAAGCAAACTAAGAGGACAGCTAGATCAGGAGAGGAGCCATGGAAATGAAGATCACATGGAGGGTTAGCAACAGGGGAGTGGGAGAAGGAGAAGGGGGGAGAAGGCACAGAAAATAAGTAGCATAGACAGTAGGTAGAAAATAGATGGGGGGGAGGGCAAGAATAGTAGGGGAAATATAGAATCTAAAGAACTTGAGACACGTGGTCATAAACTAAAGGGGGGGTAATGGTGGGGGAGGGGTGTGCAGGGTGGAGGGGAATGAAGGGGAAATAGAACAACTGTAACAGCATAATCAATAAAATATATTAAAAAAAATTCTACGAGAAGCCAGCCCTGAAGTGTGAGTTAGATGTGCAGTAGATGTTTTCTCCAAACTATTTATCCATTAGACTTTTGATACTATATGGCTGTGGGTGGTCCTGACTCCCTCCCTCCCTCCTTCCTCATATACTGGCTCAGTCCCTACCACATGCGAAGCACTGTGCTACATGCTGGTGAAAGTGGACTGATAAATTCTGCCTCTTTTCACAAGTGTTTCAAAAATGGGTCACACTTCCGTTGCCCTCCTTCGTCCACTGCAGACATCGCTAACGCACCAAGGCTTCTTTCCTGGGGAGACCTGTGACCCAGCCTCAGAATCTTTTTCAAACCAGCATCCGCAGGGTCAGGACAAGACCATCGGGATTGAAGTACGCGATAACAGATATATGCCAACCTTAAAGCAGGGGACTGAGTTACAGTTTTCATGCCTCTCCATTTTCTCAGTAGTAACTTGCTTCAGACCAGGACGATTGTATCATCTTTGGCCACACTGACCAAATGAAGGCACAGCCATGCTGCAAGTAGCTTGAGTCGGTGGAGGAGGCCCTGTGCTGGGAGCCAGGCGTCTGTCTACTCCCGATTTCGCACTCGCAACACAACAGCCCCGTGTTCTGCATTCCCCACCTCAGAATATGTTTAAATGGTGTGTGCTAGGTCAGTTGGTATGTCTAGACATGTCACCCAGAAAATGTAGTCCCCAGTGTCAAGGTGAGTGTATTTCCCATGCGAGCCTCAGCCTCCTCATCTGAGAGATGAGGAATTTAAATTTCTCTGAAGACCCTTCTGAAATAAGAGTCTATAGGATCTAGAAGTGTCCCTTATGTCTGTCATCTGAAAAGAAAATAATCACCTGTCCTAAAGTCTGCATTTTCAATGGGCCGTGATAGTGGTGTGCAGCAGGATGGGAATCGGGGGAGGCCGGCACAGGCCACTGCTGGCTGGGTTCCAGACGGCCCTGGGGGCTTCGCGGCCAAGATCTCCCCACATCCTTCGAACAACCCAGCAGGATGTTATCATTGTCCTCACCCCAGATGAAGAAACTGAGATTCAGAGGAATAAAGGGCACAGGTCAAGGTCACGGAGCTGGTGAAGTGCAGGCTCCATCCTGCCATGTGGCCCCATTGCCAGTCTCCCTCCACTGCTGTCCTCGGACGACCCTGGAAGAGGAAACCTTATGGGCGAGTCGTTTTCTTGGAATGTGTGGTTGGAAGCAGTGCTCCACTGTGGTCCTAAGGTTCTTGGAAAAAGCCATTAATGTCTGGGTTCTTTTAAAGCCACGTGGGCATGCTAGACAGCATGGTGAACAACCTGCAAGTGTATACCAATCACCTGGAGGAGGTGGTGGAAGAGAGGACCAACCAGCTGATGGCAGAGAAGGGGAACGTGGATAAGCTCCTGTCCACAATCCTGCCCAGGTATTCCGGAGAACCGGGGCTTTGCCAAAAGGGACCCAGGAAGCAACAGCATCACCTCCTAAGAGGTTCCAAATGGAGAGAATACTTTCTTTGTTCTTTTTTCCAGGAGTCCATCAGGGCCTTTTAAAATGGGTCAGGCCCTGTGCATGCAATTCAGTACACCCTGTTGGGGGAGATGGAGACGTTGGCCCTGGAGCGCATAGGAATGATGTAGTATAGGTCTCTTATTTTGTAATTTTCAATTTTTCCGTAACTTTTATTTCTTTTAATTTGCATTTAGGGGGTTATTTATGTACTTGAGCTGCTTTGCTCAGTCTTCATGCTCTCAGTCTATAAAATATATGCTACTCACAAACTCCCAACATGAAATATTTTACTTTTGGCTCATTCATTCATATGTCAAATGACCACAAAATCTGTGCACTGAGTGTCCCGGTTAAGAATGAGGGTTTTGGGAGATGGTTTTTTAATAGTCATCTTTATATTGTGTTGTATGTTCACAACCCCAGGGTAGAGGGCAAAGGGAGGATAAATGGTGATGGAAGGGAGGCTTGACTTGGGGCGATCAGAGTAGGTTTTTTTCACGTGGTAGATGGTGGGTGCACCAACAGGAGAGCAACCACTAGATGGCGATCTAGTTCCACACATCTGGTCAATTGCTGCCTTCCTGGTATTTCAGTTTGTACATCCCAAACCTTGGCGCAATACAACATATACCCATGACTTTAGATTCAAAACTTGCTTTCTATTGACTCTATTTTCACCTGTGGAAGAAGCAATGCTGTTAAAATTCTTGCACCTTCCTACATGTCTTCAGCAAAGGAATGGGGTCGAGGACTGGAATGCATCAATGTGAGCTTGGTTGATTGAAGTACAAATACTGATTTATGGATTTCTGAATGCTTGCATTTGCTTCCACATCTGCAGACCGAGTCTTTATAATCAAACTCTGTAACCACAGGGGAAAAATCAAGTACCCTCAGGGAGAAAAATGTTTTGGTAAAGGCATTTATGTGACCTGTTCCACCCCTACCCTACTCCAAAATCTACTTTGGCAAAATGCAGGTGAGAAAACAGGTGTCAAAAGAATCTCTTTAGATGGTGGATTTCGTTCATCAAAAACCTAACCCCCTGAAGCAAAAGAATCTACCAGGGTGACTTTGTGGGGGTCTGTCAGATCTGAGAAGGTGACACTGTTAAATAATGATCTTTTTCTCTGGTTTCCGCTTCACTGGAGCGCAGCTGAAAGCTGGAAGAGCCGTGGAACCTGAACATTTTCAGTCTGTGACTGTCTTGTTCTCTGACATTGTAGGGTTCACAAAACTGTGCTCTCAGCTCTGCTCCCCCCTCCCCCCTGAAAGTTGTAAAGCTCTTCAACAACCTCTAGAGTTTATTCGATCACATCATTAAAAATCACAATGTGTATAAGGTGAGCTGTCCAGCTCCTGGGCCAGAGGGAGGATGAACCTGGCCCGAGACACCGGCCAGGAGCAGGGCTCCACTTCGGGCTGGCAGTCTGTCTGTTTTCAAGGCAGAAACTCACTATTTTATTCCTGTTTGTTTTCTTGGAAAAGGGCTTGATTAATCACAGATGTGTGTCCTTGTCAAGAAGCCTCAGTTGTTCCCTCTGTTTCCTTCCATTATTTCCTCTCGTGGTAAACTTGTTTCTAAAAGAGGCATTGACCTTCTACTGGGCTGGTCCCTCTGTTTCCCTCCTGCGTATATTGCCTGCAGATTCAGAGAGATTTGGAGGTTCACGCTTCTTTAGAGGTTGTCTTTGGACCCTGTGTGAGCCTCACTGCTGTTGCTGCAATCCTTAGCAATTCAAAGGAAAATAGCTTCCCACGTTTTGACTGTCAGACTTGTAGCTAAAGGCGAGGCACTAGCCCCCTGCCCGGTTCTACTCTGGGGAGGTAGGAACAGGCCACCTGGAGTAAAACCAATCAAGTGCCTTCATTCAGGCAGAGCTGATGATGGCCACTTGTGTTTCTGACTTTTCGGACAAGGCCAGATCATGGCCCATGTTCACACTTGCCTGGCGGGCTGCCACAGAGCTCCAGTCTGACCATGACCCTAGTGCTCTGATGTGGCCCTGGGGCCAGGGAGATTTGGGGGACAGTGTTGTCATGTTCCTCAGTGACCCGTCCTCAGTGATTGTCCCCCAGGGTTCCTCGGAGATGTTGCCTCTGTGCAGGAAGAAGGGAAGGGTGGTATGGGTAACCGCAAAGAGCAGATCGCGCACACCCGACAGCACCTGTCTGGCTCAGGAGGCCTCCTCTGGGGTTTTCTCGTAGTGCTATCCGCTCAGTTCTGCTCTGCGTGAGAGAATCTGAAGTCAGTTTGTACCCTAAAGATGTGCTTGTGTCGGGGAGAGGTAGCCTAGGAGCAGTTCGGCTTGTGCACCCCTTGACTCTCTAATTTCATGGTAACCAGGGGACAGAGGGGGTCAGGCCACCTGCTAAAGCCTGAAATGCCACCTTTACCACATCATCTTTGGATTCTGCTAAAATGTAAATGGATCTGGAAAGGGCTGGGTGGAATGTTAGGCTTTGACATGTCATGTGTTCTGTGTTGTAAATGAGGGAAACTGGAAGCTGATTTTATTAGGAAACTGAAAGCTGTAGATTAGGCAGATGCATACATTATACATATTTGTATTTGTATATGTAAAAATGTTTGTATTTTGTACAATTTGTACATATATATGTATATGTGTGTGTGTGTGTGTGTATATATATATATATATATATATATATATATATATATATATATATATACAGAAGAGCCCTGTGTGGGGTGAAGACATTTCAGTTGAGTTAGATGGATTCCATTGGATGAGTCCATGTGACCCTTCAAGATCTACCCCATGTAACTGGTTTTGAACTTGGGTTGGCCAAATAGGGTCACCAGCAGTGTCAGATTTCAGAGGAGGAAGCCGTGACTGTGGGGAGGAGGGCTTGGGGCAGGAAGGGTTTGTGGAAGAACCAGGACAAGAACAAACTTGAGAAAATGCTGGGACTTGGGTGCAGTGGAGAGTAGGAAGTATGACCCTTCAGAGTCTGAGGCCTCAAAGCAAGAGTCAGCAATGAGGGACCTCCATCTCGGACCCTGACCCCACCCTCATGGAGAGTGCAAGCCACATTGTTGCTTTATTTTTAGGTTGAAACCACTGGAGATGCGTACATGGTGGCTAGTGGACTTCCCATCCGCAATGGAATGTGGACGAGATCGCTCCAATGTCCTTGCACTTCCTTAGCGCCACCATCCACTTCCAGGTTGGACACATGCCTCAGGAGAAGCTCAAGCTCCGGACTGGCCTCCACACAGGTGGACAGCCGATAACCTTACGGTCCAGGTTTATTTCCAGTTATCGACATTGCTTGGTAACAACCAGGACACACAAAGGCTCCCAGGGGAACCAGAGACGAGGAGGAGACCCACACCAGGAGAGCTCTGCTGGGCTGATTTTCCTCTGTGCCTCTGCATCCAGTGCCCTCTGGCCTGGTCCGTTTTTGTCAAACTCATGGGCACGAGGCTTGGGAAGAAGTGACTTGCACTTGGTTTAATGATCTTCTGTCACTCTCTTGAAATTCTTAATAATTTTTGAGTGAGGGGGTCCCTTATTTTCATTTTCGACTGAGTCCTGCAAATTATGTAGCCAGATCCGCTCCCACCCATCCTCTATGGCCTAATCAAGATTAGACCTGACCCCAGTCAGAATGAATTGAACCCGTGTTTGCGTGGCCACCGCCGCTTTGCTTACATTTCTGGTGCAGGAATAAAACTGTCATTCATTTCTGTCTCAGCTGGCTCCGTCATTGTAACAGCAGACCCTCGACTGGGTGGCTTAAACAGCAGACGCTTTTCTCACAGTTCTGGAGGCTGAGAAGTCCAAGATCAGGATTCCAGCATGTTCTGGGTCTGGTGAGGACCACTTTCCAGCTTGCAGGTGGCGGCCTCTGGCTGTGTCTTCACATGGTGGAAAGAGGAAGCTCCAGTGTCTCTCCCTCTGCTTACAAGGGCACCGATCCCACCCTGGGGGTTCACTCCCATGACCCCCTCTAAACCTGACTTCCTCCCAGAGGCCCCACCTCCGCCCACCACCGTATTGGGGGTTTGGGCTTCAACACGTGGATGTGGGATGGACACATGTATTCAGTTCATGATGATTGACTACATCATTTCCCACCAGAAGCCTGTGGGTTCTGTAGATTGCCTCTTGGTAAACCCTGAGATCTACTGCCAAGTGTGGCCCCATGAGGGCACTTAACAAATATTTACTGGACCGCATTGTCCACTCGCTGTGCATCGTGGGGTCCAGGACTGGTCTCTGCCCGTTGGTCCCTCCCCTGGCAGGTCCTGTGGTGGCTGGCGTGGTGGGCGTCACGATGCCCAGGTACTGCCTGTTTGGAGACACCGTGAACGTGGCATCCGGATGGAGAGCGGCAGTTTGCGTGGGTATCGCTTACAGCCCTCTGCAGACGCGGTATCGCTGTCGCTCCAGTCCCTTATCTTTCGGTATTTTTAGAAGACCCATTTGCATTCCGCCTGCTGGTGTTCATTTCCAGGGTAAGATCGTTAGCCACTTCAGGTGACGCTGACCACAGGCTTTGGAGACGACGGGGCATTTGCGCTGTCCTCTCTATGGGCCATGCAGACACACTGCCTCCTTCCCACACCATGCGTCCTAACCTGTCAGGCGTGTCTTTAAATGAAGAGCAGACTTTTCCTGTATAGGGCCAGACCATAAATATTTCAGGATTTACTGGCCAGAGTCTCCGTTGTAAGTGCTTAACTTCCGCTGCGTGAGAAAGCAGCCATTTAGAATATGTAAATATGGGTGTGGCCATGAGCCAGCACAACTTTATTTGTAAACACAGGTGGCGGGTTGGACTTGGCCTGCGGGTGGTCATTTGCCCGTCTCTGAAACACATAGTTTGGGTGATACTGAAGAGACCTATGGCCAGGAACAGCAGGGGGCAGAAATTTTCTTATTTTACAGTAATTCCATTGCATTGATAAAACCTCTCTTTGAGCTTACAAGGAAAGACTTTACAGATAAGTTTGGGAAATGGGAGGCCAGCCCTGGGGAGGACCCACTTGCATACGAAGTCAGTTCTGTCTTCTGCTCCTACACTGAACGTATGAAAGGGTGAGCTGCACCCAGCAGTGTCTGAGCCCTGCCCCCGGGGTTGGGGGCCTGGCCCTTCAAGAGTCCCGGACCTCAGAGGGGTTGTCTGTGGCTGGCCGGCTGGCATGGGGGAACTTGAGCCTCGCAGCGCTCTGCTCAGCGGCTGCCCAGCCCCTCTGACACGGTGCTGAGGTCATGGCCAGGGCAATAACAAGACGGTACAGGTTTCTGGCAGCTCTCTGGATTCACGTCACTCAGAGCACCACAGATGGGCTGCTGGCCGTGGGCGGGTACAACCTGCAAAAGAGAGGCACCACTGCAGTCAAGGTAAGGCCGGCGCCTACGCCTGCCTGCTCCATTGGGTCTCACCTGGAGACGCTGAGGAGCCAGACTGGTGTGCAAGTCTCTGTGCTGTGGTGCGGGCAGACCCTCACGGTCTAAGTGGAGGTTCATGAGACAGCCAGGCCTTCTCCCTGCAAAGGAGACAGACTGTGTCATCCCCTCAAATGGCCAAACGTGGAAGCTGCGGGAGGAAACAGCTTTTCTCCCCACCCAGACCAACCCCTGTGAGATGCCTCCTTTCCCTTGGCCAGGATGGCCCCCTGATTTCCGCTTCCGTACCCCAGTCCGGTCTGGTCCAGTCAGGGCAACAGCAAATTCAAGCCCAGGAATTATAGTGCCCATAATCCCTTCCATCCTTTCTCCCGAGTCTAGAGCACCCAGGTAGTGGGATAAAAACCCACTGGTCTGGGGGTCATAGGCCCTCATCTCTGTACATTTGAATATCTCTTCCCCTTCCCTCTGCCTTCTCCTCTTTGCTGGCATTCACGAAAATGTATTGTGACATAGTCTCATCTTTCTGATAAACATTGCTCTTTCTGGGTGGGGAAGGGGTTCTCCTCTTGAGATATTCTCAAGAAAATCTTGGAACTGTTTGCAGTGGTAGTGGTGGGTGGTTGCTATGACACTGGGTGCTTGGGTGGCTGTGGGGGTCCAAGTAAAAGGGACGAAGGTGCCATTAACTCCTTTGTTTGCTGGGTCCAGCCCTGGTAGCTGTATCTGATTAACTGACTTTGGAGAAGAGGGAGGTTTTTCTCAACAGCAGCAGAGTAGACCTGTCCTGCTCCTTACTAGCTGTCAGACAGGGGGCTGGTTTCAGCATCTGCAAAATAGCGGGTGGCGATAACACTGCCCTCCAAGGGGGGCTGCAAGGCTGAAATGCGAACATGAGCGTGAGGTGCTTCACCTGGCGTCCTGCTCATGGTGCAACCTCCAAACAATTTATTATCATGATTTAAAGATGTTCTTTGCAACAAACGTTAGTCTCCACTGGCCCTTCCCGCCCCCCCCCCCCAGCCATGCATTGGCCATCACTGACCACCAGTCTAGATTTATCAGCAATCCCGAGGGAATCAGCAAGATTTCCTATATAATAAGGCCTTTCCCGCGTTGAAGCAGCCCCTGGCTAGCTGCAGGTGGGGCTACGCACAGCGTTGCCAGTAAGCCAGCCACGAGCTGGGTTGTCTGCTCAGAGGCAACTTCACTGGCGGCTTCTCCGCCCCGGAGACAGCTTCTTCACCGGCTGTCTCTTCAGCCTCCCACAGGGCCAAGGAGAGCAAACAACTTTCTGGTTGAAAGGCAAAGGAGGCTTCACTTTTCCACTTCCTGAATTTACTGAAGAAGACGCTGAAGTCCCAGAGATCTTCTGAGGTGAGTAGTTTTCTTTAAAGATGTTTGGGGACCTGTTCCCAGGAAAGTTTGTGGGGTGCATTACGTACACCATTTTGGGGGTGTAGTTCCTTGGTATTGAGTCAGGCTCCCAGTAGGGGGTGCCATCTAGCTGGCCTGGAGCAAATGATGGGCTGGACATAGTAAGTTCATTGCCAGGGCTGCCAGTAAGACTGCCCTCACTGCCAAATAATTCTGGCTCATTAGCTTGTGAATTTGCAGTTTTGTTCTGGGGGAAAACCGGAGTAGAAAGCATGGGGCTACTCACAGGTCCGACCCTGCTCTGCTTTTTAACAGAAAGGTGGCTGGTCCCTGGTCTTTAGTGCTTATTTTCCTAATCAGCTGCTCAAACTGCAAGGAGAGAGGAGCTCCTATTAGAAGGCATCTCAGGAATGTTTTCAGGGGGTAGAGTTCTGCCTCAGGTGTGAGCGATCACCGAAATCCAATAGGAAGAGGCCACTCCAAGCAGACAGAACACCTGCAGGCAGTTGCTGGAAGGCCTGTTCTAAAGCCCTGACCTCTGTGAGCCTGGCAGCTTCTGAATACGTAGTGTCCCATTCTCTATTTATTGCTTAATTTCTTTCCTAGCCATTGAGTAAAGGGTGTAGTCAAGGCTTGGCTTTCAAATACAAATTTTTGTTCATTTATGTATTTAAAAATTTTTTGGCAGTCTCCAGCAAACAAAGATGAATGAGCCCATCCATTCTGCTACGAGTATTTCCCCCTTTGCACAGAGAATGGGGTTCCATGTTGTTTTATTTAATGGTTCCTGTAATAGACTCCCTGAACCCCGAATGCATTCACGGTTCTTTTTAATCCCTCGCAACTCCCTGCATCCAGGTTACCTTCTGGGCCGCTGCTCTGAATGTGGCGAGCAGTTTGAATGATGTGTCGTGTTTGAGACGTTTTCCTGTTGAATTTCCCGTGACTACAGAGGGGAAAACCAGCGGGACTGGGGCAGGTCTCTCCTTAGCCTGCCCACTGAGCTGCCTTTGTGGAGATATTCTGGAGTTCTGTGTAGGGAAATAAATGACCTGTTGGTTGATCGAGAGCATTTAATACCAAATGTTACAAAACGTTTGGTGGAATTCTTGCCTTTCTTCAGTAACAGGGACATTAAACAGTGGCAGAGGGAAGTGCTTTGCCAACAGCCCCATCTCCATGGAGCTCTTAAGTGGAGCTCATCAGCAGAACTTTTGTTATGCTTAACTGTGGGGCCTGCGCAGACCCCGATTCCTGGAACACGGTTCCATTTTCGTTGTGGTAGGCGTGGCTTCTCTCCACTGGCCTGGGCACCGAAGATGGAAAGCGTTGGACTGACAGATGCCCAGGAGTGGGGACGGCAGAGGTCTTTATTTGAAGGGGACAGGGGAGTTTCCCCCACTCTCCAACATAGAGACAGTGGGCCAGAATTTATCTTCTTATGCCTCATAACTTTTTGTCTTGTTTGGGATCAGAGCTTCTGGATCCCAAACGCTGTGCTCCACCATCAAGAGGAATAAGGCAAGTTCTACTATGAGGTCTCTTAGAAAGATAGACTAGTCCGCATCCATCCACCCATTCATCCAGCCATCCATTAATTCAAGGACAATTATTGAGCACTTGGTCTGTGCCAGGTACCATGTTGGGGGACACAAGAAAATATGAAACTTTCATTAGTCTTTAGCTCTCAGTTTAGTTGGAGAAAGGAGGCACAAATAATAGTAATGCAATATATTAAGGACTAAAGGAGGTGTGTACAAACATATAGAAGTAACTAAGCAATTGAATAATGTGACATGAAAAGAGCATCAGGAAATGATTCACAGGTGTAGAGATGGGGCAGACCATGCCAATTGGCTGTCGTTACCCCATCTTTGTACTTTTATGGAGTGTGTGTATTTCCTCCGGTCCTAGACCACATGCTCACACAAGTCTTGTTCCTATCAAAAAAAAACTCTGCTACTTCTGCCTTTTTCACTGAATGCTTTAACACAAACATTTGGCATCCACACACACATACACATGAAACATGTAAACACACTTCTGAATACACATACACAGACACCACAGGCACATACATGCATATATATCCATAATACACGTGCGTAAATGTGTATACATATGTACTGAGCACACACGTACGTATGTCTCTATCTCATCTATATCTATGAATTGATTAATAGAGATTTATGTGATTGTGTGTACTCAATATATATGTGTGTGATAAAAGCAATTTTCTAAAATCTGTAGCCAGTGCTTTTTCTGTATCAGTCAAGGACACCTAAGGGAGAATGTATTTAGTCCTCTGTCTCTAAATGTTTCTTTTATGTTTAGCACTAATGGAAATTTTGCAAGAGAGACTGTTTTGAGAGCGAATTTTCTTTTTAAAAAATATTTTATTTATTTATTTTTAGAGAGAGGGGAAGGGAAGGAGAAAGAGTGGGAGAGAAACATCAATGTGTGGTTGCCTCTCATGTGTCCCTCACTGGGGACCTGGCCTGCAACCCAGGCATGTGCCCTGACTGGGAATCGAACCAGCGACCCTTTGCTTCACAGGCCTGTGCTCAATCCACTGAGCTATACTAGTCAGGGCCGAGACTGATTTTTCTTAACACCTAAGTAGAGAAGGTATGAGACTGGAAGAGCAACCAGACATCATGCGGTTGTTAACTTCAAGTCAAAACACATCTAGTTAATTAGCTATCAACGTGATATATTAACACTGCACGCTGACTCATAGGTTACTTATTTGAAGACATTTATTTATTCCATAGCACCAGGTAGAGATACAAGATCATTAAACATTATGATAAAGTCAAGCAAAACTAATACAACATTGTGTTTTACTCTGACAACCAGGGATTTTGATTATGGCTCTGAGTATGCTATTTAGGAGTTTTTCACTGGAACCAGTAAAATATGTCTCTTGTTTTTTGCAAAATCTAAATTTACAGGAAGAAGAAGGGCCAGCTGTTTTGGGACCAGCTTTGAGACCAGTTTAGATTACACAGAGTCATTTTAATCTAGCCTGTCACTACACAAACATGTGTTCTGTGTCTCCAGAGACTCGAGAACTAGCTTCATTTCTGAATTCATTAACGCAATTGTAAAAGAGCCATCAAATTAAAGATCTCAAATCCTCTCAGATACATACAATATAGAGATACTAAGCAGAAGCCCACTAATTAAGTCTGTGTAAGACTAAGAAAAAAAAACCTAGCTCTGACTTTTCCTATCTAGAAGCTTCAGTTTCTAGCTTCGTACTGGGGTCTTCAGTGCATTCCTAGAAACTTCCAGTTTTCAACCAGGATGGGTTTATTCCGTTTTGTTTTGTTGACAATATAAATGACTAATATCAACATATTTTGGGTTCCTGGGGTGGGGGTGGGCTGGGTGTCAGGGTTAACAGGGGGTGGCACCATGAAATGTCACCGGTCAGATTTGCATTTGTGTTTCGGATTTTTTGGTTGGTTTTATGCTAATGATCATAAGTTGCTGAGATGAAACACATCCAGGTTAGAATGCAGGAGAGGCTAAATGAGGTCAAGCCATTCTGTACAAACGAGGGTTTCTTAGGAGAGAAAAGAGCATTGATCATCGCAAGGCCTGTGATGGGACCTGTCACACTGTCACTCTGTGGTCCTGTTGGAAGCAGCAGCAGCATTTAGTAAATGTCACATTATGTTAAATTAATGTTGATGTGAGTTGTATCCTTTCATAGATTTATTCCTGTTTAATTTGTTACTTTCTTTTGATTTTAGAAATCTATATCAGCAATAAAAATGAAGTTTATACTTATGAAATGCTTACACATATTTAAGAAAACCTATTATAAAATTAATTAGGTTAGCACTCTTGGGGGGGGTCTCAAGAATTGCATTCCTTTATGTTATTTGGACTTGAGCAAAGGCCGTTGCACTCTGATTCCCCACCACCTACCATCGTTCAGAAGCTTGGAACCCCCGAGGCTCAGCTCTGATCCTCACATTAGAGTCGACAGCATCAATGACAAAGGCCCCTTCGGCGAAGCTGGCTATTCCTGTGCATTCTGTACTTGGCACTGACTTTGTGGCCTTGCCCTACATTCTCCTCGACATGCTCAGCAGCACTTGGTTGGCTGTGCTAGTCTTTTAAAATTAGAAGAGGTTTCAAAGCATCCACCACGGCCCTGACTTGAGTTTAGGGATTGAAGACGCCCCCGCCAGTCATAGGAGGGGATTACAGGAGCTAAGAGCCACAGGAAGTGACGAGAGAAAGTAGGGCCACCAAAGAAAAACAGTCGCTGAAATTCACAAAAATCATTGGAACACATATTTGGCAAAGCGCTATTGTCTGTTCCCCAACAATACGGCCTTCTGTCTGTTCTTTTTTGACAGCACAAAAAAAAAAAACCTGTGAGTTTGTCATCGTCAGAGCTGACCTTGAATGCAGGAGCCACCACAGCCTGCCAGGCTGGCTCCTACAAGACGGCGCAAATCCCCAGCATCACGATGAGGTGGTAGAGAACATCTGTGAACCAGATGAAGGAGGCCGCACACTCAGCAACAGTTCCACGAGGGTCAAGGACTACTCAACAAGTGTAACTAAAGAGCCAACCCAGGGGTGTGAAGGAGCTTTTCATAAATCCTACCCATTTCACAGTAAGTCACTTTTGTCCACCCTTTAGGGTTCCCTAGCTCCCTTTCATCAGTACAAAGGATCGCACTGATGAACTTCGGATATGGACCTCTGACAGATGGGAATCTGAACTTCGATAGTACAGTGATGGTGTGTTTCACTGTAGGGCTTTAGCTGTAGAACCTCTTTTTAAAACTGAGAATCTGAGATTAGAGTCTTAAAAGGTTGGTTGACGTGATTCCCCGTAATTGCAAGAGCAAAGTTGGCATCTGTGAGTGTATTAATGAGTAGAAACATCTTACTGTGGTTGTGTACTGAGTTGCCTCTTTCTCATCAGACGGCTGAGGTCTTGGGCCTTGGCTGACATGTTTCCTCCTCTGAGAGCCCTTCCTGGCTGCTCAATCATTTCTCTCCCTCCCCCAGCCCTACATTTCAGGAAGGGCAGGGGCCTTGCCAGTCTCATCTCAATAACTATACAGCCTAAAATAGCACCTGGTCTGGTGTTACGGTAATTATGGGGGATCATTCCTGATGTTTGCTGTGTGCTGGGCATTGTTTGGTGCCCTTGGCTGTAACATTGAATCCAAACAACAGCCATGTGTGCTAGTGGCAATTACTAGACTATTTCACACAGGAAACTGGGGACTACAAGGGTGAGGTCATTTCCCAATGTCACCCAGTTAATGAGGGGCAGAGTCATAGCAGGAACTCAAATATTTGTTCAATGAACTGATCATTGAAAACCACTGATCCATTCTCTCAATGCGGGCACCAAGCAAAGCCACCTGGTGATGTCTTTGCCGAGACTTGGGGAGTGGGATTCAGTTCTGCTTCCTGAGATTTTCCCTGGCCTCTCCCCGACCTCAGAGCTCAGGGGCTGGCTGGAGAGAGACTGCTCTACCTCCATCCCCCTCTAACCACTCAGGTGTGCTCAAAAGAGGAGTTTGCAATTCTTACAGGCTTTGCTGGGGCCAAAGGTAACCTTTTAAAACATGCATCTGTGCTCAGAGCATTGCTCATTGACATTTCTCAGAGGTGCCTCTTTTCCTTACCTGAGAAGCTGTAGAGGCTCCAGAATCCCCTGCCTGTAGTGAGTAAAGAGAGAGAGTGCCGAGGGTTTAAGCCAAGATCGTGGAAGAAGTCCCAGAGCTGTGTTTCTGAAACACAAACCTGACTGTATATGTATCCTCCCCGATTAAACCAACAGGCTCTCCACTGCCTTTAGAATAGAGTTTAGAGTGGGGTTTACAAAGGCTTCATCTCATGCCATTTTCTCCTCAGGGGTTGGTGAACTTTCTGGGAAGGGCCAGATAGTACATATTTTCAGCTTTGCAGGCCAGATGGTCCTTATTGCATCTGACGTAGCGTGAAAGCAGCTGGAGACAACACCTACGTGACAGCTGTGGCCGTGTTCAGAAAAACTTTCCTTACAGGCCCTGAAATGTGAACTTCATATAATTCTTCTGTCACAAAATAAAAAGTATTCTTTTTTCAACCTTATAAAAAGTTTCCTAGCCTTCAGGCCAGACAGAATCTGTGGCAGCCTAGATTACTAGACTGCCAGCTGCAGTTTGGTAACCTTCACAGGTCTTCCCTAAGCTCCAGATTAGGTCGAATCCCTTGTCATACACTCCCATGGGCCCCTCCCCCACCGCCATTGACAGTGTCTCCCTTTCCCTTACATTTAACATCTCTCCCCATGCAAGATGGTAAGTTCTTTAAGACAAAGTCCCTGGTGGGAGCGGGGCTGGGCTCCTCTATTTCTGAAACCCTAGTGCTCAGGGTAGGCCCAGTTCCGGCTGCTCAGTAACATTTCTTTCCCGTGCACTGGGTGGTCCCAGTCAGTTTCATTTTCTGTTATGATTGTTGACGGCATACTGTATCTGAAAGCTGGGCATGTCCTAATTCCTTGGGGATGGGTTGGGAAGCTGGAATTCAGGCCACAGGTAGAACTTGACCAGGTAGCTGACCGACTTTAACTGCTTGGTTTGGCATGAGCTACCCCACCCCCACCCCCCAGTTAATTGATTTGCATCACAGAGGAAGGTTGTGTCCATAGTCACAGCTGGTTTGGCAGTTCAGTTAAAACGCTCCAACCATCTGTGCCCTTGGACGCAGCCCAGAGTAGACACAGCCACGTGGGACACAGAGACTTACTGCGGAGGGAGAGCTCCACGACCAGGACGCCCCCTGTCTGGTCCCGGAGGAGGCGCTTCCGTTTGTCGCAAGTCTGCAGACCCAGGACGAGCAGAGGCAAGAGGAGGGCGGGAGGTGGGATGAGGCGGGAGCACAGGAGAGAAAAGAAAGACAAGATATTAAAAAAAAAAAACAGTCTCAAACTTGACAGAGTCAAAATTCCCCAGCTAAGAGAGATCAATTACCTTATATTTTTTAATAACCTAGAAAGACATTTTTCATCCCTTCCTTAACTTGAGAAAAGGAGGAGAGCTTTACTTTATCAACTCTTCACGCTGCAGGAAATCCAACCGGGGAAGTCACTGGGTGTGGGAGGGTGTGATGATTTTTTTTTTTAAATAAGAAATAAGGCTTTTCCCCAGCAGTTACTCTCACCACAGCGACCTGAGGTGGCATCTGGTTCATTTTCCTTCCTTTTTCAAATGCCGTGCTAATAATTATCCTTTTGTCGACTATTCAGTGTTTCTTGCTCCCTTGTCTTTCTGGTCGCTCTGAAGCGACCATTTTCTGCCAAGTGAATCAACAGAACTAGAGATTATAATGTTGTGTCTGTTGGTTACTGTGGGTGATGTGAGGGCCCTTCCTCACCAAGCTTCTTAGGCCCAATAGACCCAAGGAGGTAAGCATTCGGGATTTAACACTTTGAGGCTCTCAAAGGCAGAGACTCTCAAACTTGAGCGTGATTCAGAATCACCCGAAGGACTTGTGAAAGTACAGATTGTTGGGCCCACACAGAGTTTCTGAATCAGGTGGTCTAGGGGCGCCTGGGAATTTGCATCCCCAACAAGTCTCTAGGTGACCCTGAAGCTGCCATGGACCCCATTTAGAACCACTGCTCAGAGGACCAGGGTCACATCAGGTCACAATGGAAAACTATCTTTCACCTAAATCTGCTACACCTGTTGATTGATGGCGTTGAAACTTCTCGGGGGAGGCAGTGGGGAGGAGGGGAAACTGCCACTCAAGAGCTAAAAATACCCACATTTTGACTCCCATCCAGAACCTATAGCTACCACTGAGATTTTAATTTTCCTTTCTGCTTTTCAACTTTTTCAAAGCATTTCCACGTCTGGTATTGCTTTCATTTGACTTACCATTGCTCTCTGGAAAGGAAAGGGCACCATTATGTGTCACCACCCTACCTTTAAAGATGAGAAAGCAAGGCTCCAGAGGTCAAGTGACATGTGCCAGACTGTCACTTGGTGGCAGGGTGGACAGGGCCCAGAATGTCTGCCCCATAGTCAGTGTCCTTTCTTTCCTTCAGAATGTCCTCAGCACTCCCCTACCCTGGTCTGGTTACCACATCCCAGCTAAAAATATAGCTTCTCAAATAGCAGCAACCCCCCCCCCCCCCGGGTAACAGTCTCACTCTGGAGAGAGGTGGCTCACCACCGGGCAGGAGAGCTTCTCACTGTCACAGATGAATGTCTCGCAGTGTAACCAGACCTTGGAGAGTTTGGGGATGTTCTGGAACCGGAAAGCATTGAATTGGAAGGTCGCCCTGTGGTCTTTCCCGTTCTCATGCACAAAGACTGTTTCATCTGTGGGGCAGCTGAGGCACATGGGGGCCAGGGTGGTAGGGAGAGGGAGAGAAGAAAGAAAATGTTACTCATGCGAGCCAGCCAGAGCTTCTCAGGCACGTTCAAACCCAGCACGTACATTCCCCTGGGCTTCACGAAGCATGTTATCCTTCCAAAGCACCTTGCCTGGCAGCATCTCGCTTACTTTCATGACTTTCATTACTTTCATGACTTTCATGGTCAAGGTGAGGAGCTGTGAGATGGGTGTGGCCATCCCCATTCCACAGCCAGGTGACAGTGAGGGGTGAGGGGAGAGACTTAGGAGAAGTTATACACCTGGCAAGGAATGACATGTCTGTCCCAAGGGAGTGACCTCTCTGAGATAAAGCCCCCCGGAGCCCAGGGATATGTACAGAGAGCAGGGATGTGTACACAGTGAAGGCAATGGGGCTGGCGCAGCGTCTCCCAAAGTGCTGCCATTGCCTCCTCAGCCAAGCCACACCCAACAAGCTTCTGTGTGTGTATCGTGAGGTTTTGCCACTGGGAATTTGAACTTACGTTATGCTAGTTAAGTTCTATATCTATTCTATAATTACCTTTGTAAAAATGTGGTCATATTTGTCATATGGGAGCAGAAACAAACGACTGCAAGGAGAGCATCTCAACGTCAACCCTGGCTATTTCAGAGTGATGTGATTATGACAGTTTTATTTTCTTCTTGTGCTTTTATGTGTAAGTCCCAAATGTAACGGTTGCAATAAAGGGAAAAAATTAATGACACAGATGGGCATTTGTTGAAGCCATTTGTTCTCACTGGGGGGCCGTTTGCCTCCCAGGGGACATTTAGCAGTGTGGTTGTCCTGACTGGGACAGGTGTGGCTGGCATCCACCGGGGACAGGCCAGGGAAGCTGAACAAACATCACGCAGTGCCCAGGACAGACCCCCTCCGCCTCCGTACACACACAACGAAGAATGATCCAGCTCGAAATGTCAGTGCTGTTGGGATCGAGAAACTGGGGTTTAAGCAAAACAATTTTTCTTTTACCAAATGCAGGCCGATTCCCTATTTGAGTGCCAGACATTCAACCTGGTGTTGGGAGGAGATACAGTGGTACTTGGGAATGGACAGTGAGGTCCACAGGAGTATGGGTGTTCGTTTTCTGCAGGTGATGGGAGCACCAGCATCTGTCCTCTGTGGAACAGTCTATGGGTCCAAAAGCTTAAGACCCCTGGACCACACCACAGTGGGCCCCAAAGCTAATGTGCCTCCCAGAGTGTGTCTCTATTATCAATCTGACTCCACATGCACCAGAAAGCAGCACAGCCACCCCAGAGAAGCTTCATGATGTCCCCTTCCCACCCCATTGTATTAGAACCAGACATTAGGGGCCAAACTACAGAGAGGACCGAAGGAATGTTAACTCTGACAGTGAGTGAGTGAAATGAGGAGCAAACGCTGTGCCTGGTATCGGGGACCAGGGTCAGAAGCTGGCCTCTGCGCAGTGACGGGGCTGGGGGCATTTACAGAGCTGTGAAACGAGACTCTTGGAGGATCATTTGGTCAAAACACCTGAGATTCTTGTACAAACTCAAGATGTTGAGTTCTTAAAATAGCTCCTTGAAGCTGGAGTGCCCAGCCAGTGGAAAACAGTGTAAGCAGAGCTTTGTCGGGGGTGGGGAGGAGGCAAGTCATGGGCAGGACTGAGATGCCTTGGCACTGTTGCTGCTTGGCAATGGCCGTGGCGCCTGCCCCTCTGTGCAGACATCTCTGGATGGTGGCATGCCCACGGGGAGGTTTTCACACCACTGCCGCAGGGGTCTCCATCCCCACGGAACCACGCTGCCGGATGGTGTATCTGCTCAGAGCTCTCCGGGCAACTCTGGAAAACTGGGTTTTCCTCCCAAAGGGCTCAGTGTGACCCAAAAGCACCTGGCAGATTGTGGCAGTGGACTTCCTCGTTCTGGCCCTTGGCGTGGGTCTTCGTGTATGTAGTCCCGACCTTCAGGGCCATTTATTTCAACCAGGCTGGCAATGGAAATAGCTCAGGACTCCTCCCATAGGGCTATGCCCAGGGACCTTCTGCACGTGTGACAGACACCCATTTCTATGCGCCCTTGAGTTTGTGGGGCACTTTTTAGATGACCCCAAAGCCACAAGCATTCCTTTTTGTTTTATATGACACATCCGTCAGGTGTATCATGTGCGCAACAGCCTCAGAACTATCTGCAGGTAGAAGCCATTGCCCATGTGGCTGTTGTGTTAGAGAAGTTCCAATGCCTGGTGGTAATTTCAGGTCCTGGTAGCTCAGTGACTTATTTCAGCATCTCCCCGGGGTCCTTTGATCCCACAGCGGCAGAACCTAAATGAATCACTCAATGACAGATGGGAAGTAAGCTCCCAAACTAAGCTCCCTTCTTTGCAGAAAGCTTTGCCGGCTTGCTCAGAGGTGGCTCTGCTGGCCTGGCCTAGTCATGCCACCCAAGAGATCACGCTACTACCTGAGACTGGGCCCCAGATCTGTCCTCCTCCAAGCTCTAGATTTAGGGCGAGTTTCAAAATCCACCTGCACCTCAGTGTTCTCCTCCATAAAATAGAGGTTATTACATGACTTACTTCACAGAGGCTTAAAGAAATGTAAATAAATTACTATTTGTAGAGCACCTAGTTAGCGCAATGCCTGGTATGTTGTAAGTGCTTTACAAGTGTGTGTTAAATAAAAACAAATAGCTCAAGGTTCAAAGTGGCTTGGCCTTTGTTATCTAATCACTTTTGCCCCCGGCCCCAGTGTTTACTCAAGTGTTACTGATGGGTTCTGGGAATAACACGGGCAGAGTGGTCTGCTCGGGTTTGGGGAGTGGCCTCGGCTGTGTTTACCAGTCATCATGTGGGTGATGCCCACATCTCTGGTCTAGCCCAACCTCGCCTCTGTTTTTCAAAGTTACAATTGTGTTTCTGGACAGTTGTCATCTCCAGCTTACCATGTAATCTTTGTGTTCAAGGAGAACCCAGAGTCCCTTATCCACAAAGCCATCAAAAATCCCCAGCCATCAACAATACACCATTCTCCACCTTCTCAATCACGGACTCGACAATACAAAGCCGTCTTTGTCACACCTTCCTCAGAGTTCCTGTCCTGTCAACATCTCTCTGCCCAGCACACCCAACTGGTGGCTAAATTTTGATCCTTTCTCTCCTCCCTGCGTGACTTGTCCATTCACTGCCTGCACCTCCATTCAGGTATTGGCACATTTGGGTCAGTAGCTGCTGCTGCCTCTAACCTGGTCTTTCCTCTCCTGTGTACTGTCTCTAAACCATCCAGTGTACAGCTTTCAGAGCTACCTTTCCATTGTGAGATTTTCGTACTTTCATTATCTACTGAATTAGTTATAAAAACAATGATATTATTTAAATCAGTTGGATACTGACTAGGTGCTCTGTGCTAAGCCTTTTTACATGGATTATCTAATTTAGTCCCTGCCAGAGTCCTGGTCTCAGACAGATTGGATTTGAACACACTCCCCCTCCCCCATACCAATTATGTGACATGACTTAACTCCTCCTGTGCTTCAGTTTTCTCATCTGGGAAATGGGGGTGGTAGGAATAATACCTGCCTGTTGTAAGGCAAAAGAGTTAATATATATGCTAAAGTTCTCAGAGCAGTACCTGGGACCAGAAATCACTACAGAAATGTTTGCTAGTCTCAGGACTCAGCCAGGAAGCGCAGAGGATGTCTACATCCTCTAGTACTAGGTTAACTACAAGAGGCTCCACCCCTTTCTCCCCAGCTTTGCCAGGCCAAAGCAGACCCGGATGTGCCTGGCCCCACCCCTCAGGCCTGTGTGCCAGAGAGCAGTACTTACCCCTTGTTGATCAGCTGCCACTGCAAGGGATACATGAAGTCGGCTGAGGGTGTGGCCCAGCAGCTATTCAAAACCACTTTGAACCTGGAAATGAAATCAAGGGCATCACTTTGAGCCAGAGAGTTGTATGCCTCAAAACATTTGGTGATTGAAGAGTCTCTTGGCCAGTCTTTTTTACTGTTCTTTGTCTTTAAAAATATAAACACGGAGAAAATGTACTTACCTAACACTTAACCCTTTGGCTTCTACTCCTGCAAACAGATCTGACCCGATTTCGTGTGTCTCCAGGACAAAAGGGGCTTCTTTCTTAATGGAGAACTTGGCATTCTTTGGAAGGAAATTGACACTGGGCATTATGACCTCTCAACTGAGCAGTCGTGTCTGACAGCAGCAGATGAATTGGGCTGGCGTGGGGTGGGGATCAACCCAAAGGGCACAGGTACATGAGGCCACAGTGAGAAACCCTGAGGCCCAGAGAGGCCATAGCTCCTAAGACGCTGGTATCATCCTCGGAGGGATGAGGACATCCCATGTCTGGGTTTGCTGGTGCCAGTGAGATGCATACTGTATGTCTCATCTGAGCCAAAGAGGAACAAGACTTGTCTGATGGAAAAAAGAGTGGAGTCCAGGAACGCCGACGCACTGTGCGTTCCTGAATCACCCATGGGCACAGGGACCACATGCACGCAACACTGCTTTGCCCTTGTTCCTCAGCTGTCTGGGCTGGCCCCAGCCTGGGTTGGAAAGTTTAGGATCTGACTCCCAGCACGGTTAACAACAACAACTCATGGATCCCCTACTATGTGTCAGGCACTGCTCTCTCTACTGGACAAGGCCCTACAGCCCAGTAGAGATGTTTTGTCTATAGATTATTGGGTAACAAAGCACAGATTTCTGATGCCAACCACCCAACATTCTAGCAGGGGAGACAGTCCAGAGATGGTAGGGAAGTAAACTGTGTATGTCAGAATAGATGAGAGCACAAAAGATAGAAAAACTGTAGGAAATTCGAGCAGGGTAAGGTGGGTTGAGAGTGTGGGAAGGGGTAAGCTGCAATTGTACATAGAGTAGTAGCTGGGGAGGCCTCACTGAGGACGTGACATCTGAACCGAGGTTTGGGGGAGGTGACGGAGCCTGTTCTTCAGGCCAGGTACTAATACTAAGAAACTCCTCTGCGCTGCACCCAGGCACCCAAGGAAGAGTGTTTCAGCCAAGACAAAGGCCCTGGGGCTGAGAGTGTGGCTGGCAGGACAACAAGGAAGCTACTGTGCCTGAGCAAAGGGGACATGTGGGAGGGGAGGCAGACATGTGTGGGGTCAGGAGACCCAGGTGATCCAGAGGTTATGGAGACAGATCCAGTGGAAACTGTGGTTTCAACTCTGAGTGCAACGGGGAGTCATGGTCGTGACTTGAGTACAGAAGCACTTCGGTCACAGGCCTGGAGTGTCTGGTCTTCAATGGTCATCTTCATCAGGCAGTTCTGGGTGAGTCATTAGGAATAAATAGCAGTGTTTCTGGTTGACTTACCCAAATGAGGCTGATTTCTCCATTCTTTAATTGCTGGGGTCAACAACTGTAGTAAAGACCTTTAACTACTCTCCAAGTTTAGCTTTCAGAGACAAAAGCATCACGACAGAAGGACAAGGATCCTGGGCTGATTCTAGCTCCTACCACTCTCTTGGGACACTATAGGCAAATCAACCTTCTGGGCCTCAATGTTCCCATCTTCAAAATGGGAATAATCTTTGCAGTCCTTCTTCACTTACCTTGCAGACATCTTTTTATGATGGTGATTTTATGTAATAGAAGCATAAAGCTTAAACCAGGACACTAGTTAAAATTTGAGGTTCATGGACTTGCAGCTTTGCAAAACTGCAATAGGTAAACAGTGGCAGCAAGAATATCTAGTTAAAATGGACTTCAACCCCCTATGGCTCAAATGCAAGGAACTTGCTGAGAGGCCTCAGAATCATCTTCTGGAAACTCTTACATTATTTTACTGAAGTCTGGCCAGGGCTCCTGGGCTCACGTCACCTAGAAATCTGATGTTTTCTTCTAATATGTCATTCTCCTCCACCATTTACATGGTTGCAATAATTAAACAAGAATGCTCTTAATCACAAGTCATTCACTAGCTCAACAGGCCCATTGAAGTGACAGGTTAATGGTAGTGTTTATTTATTACTTTACTTCAAGAGGCCATGTCCAGTGTGGAAACTAGGGATGGAGCTGCAGTCCCCAGTTCAGTGAGAGGGGCTTCTCCATCACCCAGGATGCGGCCGACAGACTATTGGGAGAGTGGAACGATACCTCTGCTCCCAGAGGAAGCTGCCGGATTGTTTCAAAGTGGAGAGCAGAATCTACTCTGTTCTACACTGTCGATGCCATCTCTGAAACAAAACACTCTCAGTGGTCAGTTTCTTCACTTCTCACCCTACAGCTAAGGCAATGCTCAGCTCAATACGCCACTCCCGCCCCCACTCCTGCGACTTCTTTATAACAGGAAGATTAGAGATCTGTTTCCAGGTAACTTTGCCCTACAGTAGAAGCAGTTTGTTTTGGCATCCCAGGAAACAGAAACGCCACATAAGCTACTCATTCAGTGAACTGGATGAAAGAGCACCTTGGAAAATCCTGCCATCTGGCCCGTCACTTGATCGAAAGATTGAGTCACGATAGCTGGTGACACAGTGAGAATGGGCACATGTAGGTTAACAACAGTGTGCATGGGCAAGATCTGGGCGTTGCTTTTGCTCACAGCTCAAGGTGAGATCTCAGTGAAAGAAGACTGCCCAAAGCTAAACGTACTCTGGAACGTGTTCCTGGAAATTTTCTAGAACCTTGAAGATGACCTCTGACTCACTGTGCCCTACATTGGTCTGACAAGTTCTAGAATATAACATTTCAATGCCAGGCTCTGATTTTTAATAAGGCCACTCAAGTGGACCACACCCAGAGTGACTAGATGATGAATGGACCATCAACAGTGGGAAGATGTTTAGCTGGGGAAGGACAAGCTTGAGAGTTGAAGGACCATCAGCAGCATCAGTACACGGCATTATTCCAGAAGACAGAACCAAGACCAATAAACCAGGATTCAGGATGTCATATATTGTACACTGATCTAAGATGGGAAGGTCCAACTTGCCTTTGGGAGAGGTAGGGAGCACAGATCAGCAGTCTTGCAGACGGCTTTTGGACTTTGCATGGACAGTCAAGGTGGACCACCTCTGCAATTCATCTGGACTCTGGAAGCCTATGACTTTGGCCCCTATTGTTTGTATGTGTTCGATCCCAAACTTTTTCATCTCTCTCTACCTTAGAGGAATTGTCAGTACAATTTCAATTGAATGTCACCCCAGTCCTATGCTGATATTGATGTTCAACCTTATAAAGGTAACAACGCTTGTTCTGGAAGCTCTCAGTTTCCACTTTAAATGGGGTCAAAGGCTAAAATCGTGAGAATGGCTATTTTTACAGGCACTTACCTTGTGCTGGGCATTCTGGTAAGTGCTTCTTAAGGATTATTTCATTTAATCCTCATAACAAACCTATGGGTAAATACTAATATTATCCCAATTTAAAAAATACATAGGTGGAAGCCCAGAAAGGTTAACTAAGTTGCCCAAGGTTACACAACTAGCAAACAGTAGAACCAGGCTTTCAAACCAGTGGTGAAAATAGCCCAGGCCTATTTTCTTAACCACAGTGCTAGGTTACATCAGCAAGCTGACTACATTCCTTGATAGGATTGGGAGTCAAAATAACTTTTTGCCAAGAAGAGCAGTTACGGGCCTTCGGCAGGAGTGGGGAGGGGGTAGGAAGGGAAGAGAGGAAGCGTGGTGAGTAGAAGTGGTGGTGATGGAGCTCAGCATTCGGAGTCTTCGGAACCCTCGGCAATTAGCAGAGCATTGATTTCATTGTGCAATCTAGGGCACAGCTCTGTCACTGGTAATTTGATGGAAATATATGCAGGGAGCAGCTGTTGCTTCAGAAACACACAAGAATGCCCTCAAAGCGGAAGAAGGGAGGGGAGGTAAAATACCAACCACACGGCAGGCATCGGAAACGGAGCCCCTGGTGGGAATATTAAACAGCAAATTCGGTTGTAACATCAGAACCCCCTTTTTGTTGAACCTGTCTGTTCTGTAAAGGTCTTGGTGGGTCCCAGGGGAGGTCTTAGCCTCATTTCTAGAACAATTCAAGGAGGCATCCTGTGAAGTCTATCCGTCCAGCCCAGAGGATGGCTTGTATGATGCTGAGGACATGCCTCTTACTTTTTTCCCCTCTCTTACAAAAGAATAGACCCTTTCTGGTTCTACAATTTGATATTTATGTCTGAAATTTGGCCCAACATAGCTGATGGTAGATGGTGACTTTTGACAATCCTGATGCCTTTCCAATTCCAACTGTTGTAAGATCGTCATAGGCTCCTATCTGTCATTTTATCTGCTTAAGATAATACTCACGCACTTCCAGACAGGGACTCAGTTGTAAAGCAGCCCGCCGTTGGGACATTCCGTGACGTCGTTGTCAGTGTGCGAAGCCTATTTTTCTCTTTGGACTGTCTTCATCAGTTATGCTGGTGGCTCCTTTCCTTGCCCTGACTCTCAGCGTGGTATACATGTTCCTGATCACAGGTCTGGGGGGCTATTCGGGGCTCCTTTTTTTCAGAACTCAACCACCGGTGTGTGTGGCCAGGGCACAGCTAGGTTTTGTGGGACCTTGAAGCTTATTTACCGTATTTTGCTGTGTATAATGCACACCCATGATTTTGGCCCAAACTTTCAGAAAAAAAAATCTTTTGTTTTAATTTCTTAATTCAATGATGTATTTATTTATGTTTAGATACTTGGTTTTTGTATTATAATGGATTTTAGCATTTGTTTTGGAACATGTGATGGTACGAGAAATTTTATGTAACAAATAATTACAAAACTCAAGAACAGATACAAAGTATTTCCGGTACTACCCATGTATAATGTGCATCTTTATTCTTCCCTCAGAAATTTGGGCAAAAAAAGTACATTAGACACAGCAAAATTTGCTAATTTGGGGAGCCCTCTTGATTAAAATAACCAGAGTTTTCAACACAAAAATTAGACATAGGCTTTGAAAGGGGCCTGTCCAAGTGGAGGGTTTGCAAACTTCAGCTTCATTCCCCTCTCAGTAAGTCTGCCTCAGAGAGCAGGGTCAGGGGACCTGTGTGCCGGACTAGACACCACTCTGACTACCTGCGGGATCTGGGACAGCTGACTTCCTCCTTCGGGGCCTCAGACCGTCATCTGTAAAATGGACTAGGGTCTCTTCTAATTCTCACCTTCCAAGTTCAGCAGGGTGAATAGCTTCCAGGGAGTCAGTAAGGCAAGTTCAAAGAATTCAAGGTCAGTGGGGTTCTAGGTAATAGAGTTTGTTTTCTTTGGGAAATGAAGGGGTTGAACATGATGACCTCTAAGGGTGTCTTCTAGCTCTACTGGGAAAGTTTCTATTTTTGCCTGCATCTTCCTTTGGCCTGGGGGCTAGTATCCTGTGTGCAGACTTCCTCACGGACAGCTGCAGGTGTAACATACAAAGCACCCCTTGGTATTACGATAGCCAAGATTTGGAATGAACCCAAATTCCCATCAGTAGATGAGTAGGTAAACAGCTATGGTACATTTACACAATGGAATACTAGTTGGCCGTAAAAAAGATGAAAAGTTTACCCTTTGTGACAGCATAGATGGACCTGGAGAGCAGCACACTAAGTGAAAGAAGGCAGTCAGAGAAAGACAAATCGCCTATGACTTCACTCATATGTGCAGTCTAATGAACAAACTGAACTAACGGCAAAATAGAGCCAGACTCATAGGTAGAGAGCAGGCCTACAGCTCTGGGAGGGGAAAGCATGGCAGGTGGAAAGACTGAGTAAAAAAGAAAAAAGAGAGAAAGAACTCATGAGCACAGACAGCAGGGTGGTGACTGTGGGGGAGAGTGGGTGGGTAGAGGTGGAAGAGGGCATAGCAGGTTTACATGGTGATGGAAAAAAATAAACAGAAATAGGAGCCAGCCCTGGCTGGTGTAGCTCAGTGGATTGAGCTCGGGCCTGGGAACCAAGCAACCACAGTTTGATTACTAGTCAGGGCACATGCCTGGGTTGCAGGCCAGTTCCCAGCAGAGGACACACAAGAGGCAACCATACATTGATTGATGCTTCTCTCCCTCTCTCCTTCCCTTTCCCTTTAAAGATAAATAAAATCTTTAAAAAATATATAAAAATAGGAGCCAACATGGAAAACTTTGTAGGAAGCAAAATAATAATAATAATAATAATAATAATAATAATAATAATAAAAAATTTTAAAAAGCACCTTCTAAACAAGAGGGCAGCTGGGCTGCATATTTAGTTTCTCTGGAGCACTTTATTTTGAGAGAAATGAAAATGTGCCTTTAACTTCGATGTGAACATAGGCAGTATTGCCCAAATGAGACAGCGAGGAAGCCCACTTAGAGGAGGGTTTCAGAGACCAAAGAGCTAGGGACCGAGGCCAACCCCAACCTGTCTCCTTAGCCCTGTCACAGGTAGGAAGCTCACTACTCGGTGCAAATATTGTAACACCAGCTACATCCAATGTATATATAAATCTCTTGAGTGAGAAATAGTGGAAAGTAATCTTGATCAATTAAGAGTTAGACATTGTCTGACTGTCTATTGACCCTTGGCAACTCATAGGATTTCTCTTGCCTCAGTTTTCTCATCCATGAAATGGGAAGGTTGATCTATTTTTTTCCTGCAGTCCTTTTCAGTTCTTCTGTCCAGTCTATGAATCTGCCTTTCTGCTGCATTCAGCTTTTAAAGAAGGTTGAAGCTAGACCAAAACTTCCATCTCAGCTTGAATTCAAGAACAGAGCTCTGTGTAGAGCTTAGGGAAGAGCAAATCCCGAGGAAGCATCCCATCACCTCTTAGAGAGGCCACAGGGCAGTGATGGGAACTGGGAGGCCACTTACAGTGTAGAAGTTGAGAGACAATTGGCTTTCAAATGTGCCCATGCTCCCGTTCTTCACGTGAACAGTGGCCACTCTGAAAAGGGGAGAGAATTTTGCATAAGGACTGAAACACGCCTGATTGACAGGGACTGAAGAACACACACAAGGCAGCCAGCCCTCCACTCTCTGAGCAACTTACCTCTGGTCAAAGGCAGCCTGGTTCACCAAGTAGGTGGAGTGGTAGGTGCAGGAGAAGGAGTAGTTCACAGGCTGGTTCTTCACGATCACTGTGCTGTCATTGGAAACAATGTGGCTGTAGAAGTGGTAGATGGGGGGCTTGTACTGGGGAAAGGAAGAAGGTAGTTAGGGTGGACTGTACCCCATGATGAGAAGGAGGGTTCTGGGAATAGTGATTGAAGATGGCCCCAAAAAAGGCCCCGGGGGAGACATGAACGTCTGCTGTTGGGAGTAGCATCCACTTTTTTGGGGGATCTATTTTTATAAAGAGTTCTTAAGCCCGTTCAACTACAATTGTTTACAATAATCTAAGTTGAATGTTGTCCACCTAAAAGAAATGCATATGCCTTCTGGGCTTCTGACCAAGAAGAGCTGGCTCAGGCTCTTTATTTCCCAACATTGACTTTTCGCCCATTTCCCCATCCAAGTCACCTTACATGAATACCTCCATCCATTTAGGGTGACTTCTAGAAATCTCCCATTTCTAGAACAGTAATGCCTAAGTCCTTTGCTCTATTCTTTTTACAGTCATGAGCACTATTTCTGAGATTCTTGCCTCTGTCTTGTTGAACACTGATATCACACAATATTGCAGTCTGGAGGAATCTTGAACATCCACATAAGGAGTGACCTGCCTAAGACCGCATGGATGATTTGTAGTTCACTCCACCAGGATACTCAAAGATGTGATGTTTTTGTCAATCATGCCACTTCATCACTGAATCTCTATGTGGTCTTAGGAAGATGAGGTGGCTCCCATTTCCTGAGACCTAATTTCTATACAATCTTCTGTAGTCAAGGCAGTAGAACAGCCTCCCTTCCTGAGCATGACTATGTCCCTACTGGATCTGTGGCCCCCAACTGGTGACTTTATTGGGAGGTGTCAGATTTCTCCTCTGTCACATAGGGTATTGGCAAGATGACCTTTCCTGGGTATTTCGTAAAGCCTAATTATGAATTGTGTTGTACTTTGGTTACTCTTATAAAATGCCCTCCCAAATGCGCTTTATCACCACTTCAACGTCTCGGGCAGAGGATGTCCCATCCACCCACCCCAGGAAGGGTAACAGCCTGTGAGTACATGCTCAGAACTTAGAGCAAAGTAAAGGTGGGAAAAGTATGTTGTTCTACTCACAGAGGTGGCCTAGCTGGCTCTGGCAACAGATTAAGAGAATAAAATTCAAATCCGAAGTATCAGTTAAACTAGGCAGAAGAGAAGAATTTGAGTAACACATCCCAAGAAATAAGATTGACTCTTAAAAGGAAATGGGTGGATTCTAGACCCTTTTAAAGGCAGACAGCAAACATCATATCCTTGGGCCCAGTTGTCTCATCTTAGCGATTCCTCAATGTGTGGCCCAAACTCACCTCGGACTGGGTTCCACAATAGGACTTGTTTTTAGGTGACAAATCTGGGATCACAAATTGGTAGTAACCTCCTTCGTGGACCCCGTTGTAGCACACCCCGCCGAGCGCCAGCTGGTGTACTTCCCACCCATAGGGACACTCGGGGATTTTGGTGATGATGGTTTTGGGATAACAAAACACGAGGATGACATCTGGAAAAAGTATACACGTGGTTGGAAATCAGACATGGTGATCATATTGATCTACATAAGTAGCAGAGGGTCCTAGTTATACCTGAACAGGCAAAACACTTGGTTAGAAACACTTTCCCTGCTGTTCTTCATGGGCTGTGATAAAACTTCCCCCAAACTTCAGTTATCAAATTTCTACCTTTAGTCTTTGCTATGGCTGTGTAATATCTGCACTAGATTCAGTATGGATGCAAAATTGGTCCACTTTTAAATTTTCATCTCTTTCAAGGCATATATCTGTGAAACCAGATTGGATTGATTGGAGATATATATATATGTCATGTATGTAAAAAATTCCAAAAACCCATGAAAACAAACACAAAACTTAAAATAAAAAGTCCATTCACTTTTTAAAATGTCTGTTTATGTGAAACAGTAATTCATGGCACAAGATAGAAATTTAAGTCAAGTAGAAAACAGAAAAAATGTGGAGATTTGATCCCTATCTATTTATCCATCTATCTAGCATTCTCTAATTTTTATTCAGTACATTTTTGCTTCCTGTGGGCAAACTCTGATTGGTACACCAATCAGAGGGCTTAAGTGCTTCTACTTGGCAATATTATTGCATTTTCATAACACTATAGTCACAGAGCTCTGAGCTTTGCAAAGGGAAGTTTCAGGAAATTTTCCAGGAAAATGGACCACCACCAGGGCATACCTGCTTTATTCGGAGTGCATGATTTCGCTGAGGCTTCTACAAAGACAGCCAACAGGACGAAGGCCCTCATCACCATTGCTTCTCAGAACCTGGTCTCTGCCAGGGGCCCAAACCACGCTGGCCAGATGTTCACGGTCCTGCCTGGGTCTGAACCTGAGCCTCGATCATTCTAGATCAGAAAAAGAAGCGAGAAATTAGAATCAAGGGTGAAAACAAAGCAGCGGACACAACCTTGGGGGCAATTTTCCAAGCAGATCTGAAATGCTGTCCACACCCTCTTTCTAGTGGCTCCTGATCTGCACTCAGAGGCAAAAAGCAGGGCTCATACCACTGGGAATGTCAACAGCACACGGAGTTGCTCATGTTCCCGACTGTTTCATTCTCTCCGGACTGTGGATGCTGCCTCCCAGATGCCGCCCAATTCTCCAGCCCCAGTCCTAGCCTTTATATAGGCTGCAGGTGTAAAAGAAACCAGCTCCAGATAAATCACAAAGAACACGCATTATCCACTGCGGGGGGAATAAAGGGGACCTCGCACAATAATCCAATGGGAAGCTCAGTTACAGCCACTTGAGTCTAATTTCTTTTACTTTACAGAGTTGGACAAACTTTTTTTTAACCACTTCAACCAGGATTGGAATAAGAAATTGAAATTTTTTTCCCTTGAACAAGAAAATAACTGATTGGAGGCCACTTATTTTCTGCATAGTTCCAGGTGACAACTTTCTTTCTCTATATCTTGCTTTCTTTGCTTTTTATTTTTATTTTTATATGTAAGCTTTCTAACCTTTGAAGGTAAGAAGACTCAAGTTCAGTAGTGGTGCAACTGACAAATAAAAAAATAAGCTGTTTGTATGAATGCAAACATGTTAAAATTTTTTTCCTCTAGTATTTTTAAATAAGCTCCAAAAATCTAGAATTTCATCCTGAAGTTTCTCTAGAGCTTCATCCTGAAATATAACTTTGATTGTTGACCTCTAGGCTTCTAACATTTTGTTAGACCCCCTGAGCCATGCACTGGAAGAAGGAACTTCAAAAGGAAATGTCATGATTAACCTTTAGTCACCAAACATGGCCCACCAAAAAACAACAGCTCAATGTTGCTCTTGGGGACTTTGCAAATACAGTACCTGGGGATTTTTAGCACCCACAAGTTTAAAAATAAAAAATCGGGGTTTGTTTCTAATTTTTGTTTTCAGAAGAAACAGTTTTTATTTCTTTTGTACATCAGTCAGCTGAGTATATTGTACAGAAGCCACTGCATTCAGCCTTTTGCGAGACAGCTGTAAAAAGTGCAGGGTAGTACCCCGCCTTGCAGGGCTTTATAATGTAGCCAAGAAACGAGATTATCTATGCACTAGGACTCAGAGTTAAAAGACTGGGTTAAGTCATTGTTTTACTTCTTGTATTTCCTTTAGTTTAGGGTGCATGTCCTTCCCTCCAAGCCCACTTAATTTAACGTCTCAGAAACACTGGGATGTGTCTTATAAGCAATATGCACAAGGAATAAGGTGGAGTTTCTTTGTTTCCTCAAAAGCTGTGGCTAAATGGATGGCATGTCTTACCATCATGGTGCCTAAAGGTTGAGGAAATAGCCACGTGGCAAACGACTTGTAATTTCTGCGACTCAGTTTCCTCCTCGGTAAACAGAGGATACGGAGCCATGACGAGAGGCTCCTGTAAACTGTAAAGTACCAGATACGTGTATAGATTTCCGGCAACATGCATTGTTTGTGAGTTGTTTTTCTATTCCTCACAGGGAAGTACGACAAAATGTCCCATTGTAGATTTATGTAACACGAGACATGTCCACATCGTATAACACACATGCATGTAATGTACTTTATGGATAAAGACCAAATAAGCTGTGAAAGGAGGGGAGGAGGGAACACGTTATTTTGTTGCCTAAGATCAAATGTAGCGTGGCTTGAAGACAGCAGAAATTTGTACTGGCCTCTATAGTTCATTACGGGCATTACTTATAGAGCAGAAAAGTATGTGTGAATTCTCAAAGTTTCTCTTTTCTTTTTTTAGAAGATTTTTATGTATTTATCTTTAGAAGGGAAGGGAAGGAGAGAGGGAGAGAAACATCAATGTATGGTTGCCTCTCGTGCATCCCCTGCTGGGAACTGGCCAGCAACCCAGGCATGTGAATCAAACCGCAATCCTCTGGTTCGTAGGCCTGTGCTCAATCCATTGAGCTACACCAGCCAGGGCTAAGTTTCTCTTTTCTAGGGCTCAGCACTAATCTGAACTTTTCTCTCCCTCCATTTTTAAAAACATTCACTGAGCCCTTACAGTATACAAACACGGGAATATGTTTTGGAAAGACACAGGCAAATCAGGGGACCTAGGGACTGGGTGGGTGGGCAGGGGATGCACAGAGTGATGGAAGTCTGTACTGGCAACATAGGATGGAGGGGAGGGGAAAGGGAGAATCAACATGATTGACAGAGGACATAACAAGCAGCCTAACACAGCCTAGTTGCATAGGGAATGAATGTCCCCTCTGATTCGGCACAAACGATTATTCATCACTGATAATTCAGTATTGCTCTTCTGTGTACGTTGGCATGCTTGTTTCAATTTCAAGGCTCTATTCACACATCTTCAATACGTCCTTTCCCACCAGCCTTGGCAGAGGCAAGTCGACAGAACCAACTTGCCTCTGACCTAGAACGGCAGAGTTCATTCATGGGAAGGGTTGCACTGAAAATAAAGGCCTTGCCTGTTTCCCAGTGGAAATGTCCCCTGGGCTCCTGCAAGACCCTATGAGGCAATTTAGGGTCAGTCTAGGCAGATAGACCCTATAGTCAACTTAGGATCAAAAGCTCAGCCCTCCTACTTCCTAGCTGAGTGTTCTTGGGCAGGTTACTGAGATGCTCTGAGCCTTAATTTTCCCCTCTCCTGAAAGGATAAAATAATACCTGTGATGTAGTGTTACTCAGAATATTAAATATACAGTAGTACCCCCTCGTCTGCAGGGAATAGGTGCCTAGATTCTCAGTCAATGACCCAAACCACGATTAGTACTGAACACTATACAATATACACTATGTTTTTTCTTATACTTTCCTGATTTACCACTTAAAGTAAGCATTTTATAGCTCCTCTTTTTTAAAAAAAGATTTTATTTATCTTTAGAGGGGAAGGGAAGGAGAGAGAGAGAGAAATATCAATGTATGGTTGCCTCTCAGGTGTCCCCTGCTGGGAACTGGCCTGCAACCCAGGCATGTGCCCTGACTGGGAATTGAACCACCATCCTTTGGTTCACAGGCCCATGCTCAATCCACTGAGCTTTGTAGCTCCTCTTTGGCATATCTAAAGTGCTAGCATCACTATCCCTACCCTTTGGGGCCATTGGTGAGTACAATCAGGATTACTTGAACACGAGCACTGTAATATGACGACAGTCAGTCCGATACCCTAGACAGCTACCAAGTGACTAATGGGTGGGCAGCAAATACAGTGTGGATGTGCTGGACAAAGGGGTGATGCATGTCAGAGGTGAATGCGTGGAATGGCACAAGGTTTCATCACACTGCTCAGAGCAGCGTGAAATTTAAAATTTATGAGTTGTTTACTTCTGGAGTTTTCCATTTAATATTTTTGGAACGTGGTTGACTGTGGGTAACTGAAACCTCGGAAAGTGAAGCTGTGGGTAAGGAGGAGCCTACTATACATCAGTGTGCATAGACATGGCCTTCTTTCCTCCATAGTGGCGTCAGGGAAGAGTTTCATTTGATGCTCAGTTCTGCTTGGGAAATCCAAAGAGGGGAGCCTATGAAGAATGGGTTGCTGCTAGATAATACACATTATTGTCATTGGTGCTGAATTATAGCATATGTAACTAAGAGCATGGGTTTAAGAAGTCATGGGTCTGTCGCATTTCCAGTTGTGTGATCTGCAGCAAGTAACTTGACCTTTCTAAGCCTTTAGTTTGCCTATCTGTAAAATAGGCTTTCTACCCCCTATGCTGTTTTGAGAATCCAATGAAATAATACATGCAAATTACTTACCACAGTGCCCAGCACACAGAAGTGTGTAATACAGGTGCGTGCATTTTATTCAGTTGAGGCAGTATTGTTGGGCTGGCTATGTCAGTAGTGTTCCCGTATGAACTCTGGGTGTTTTCTAATGGGAATATTTCTCTCTTTAGAAGCCCACCTTAACAAAGAACAGGTGCTTTTGATTTCTAGAGAAGCCTGATAATGATAAAATCTCGCCTACAATTTCTTGGAGGGGGACCCAGCTAACAATCAGGTACATGATACTCCTTTCAAGGGCAAGTTGAATGAAGTCGGGAAGCAGAGTCAACTTTTGTGGCCGGCTGGTTTCTAGATGTTGCATTTGCATAAGAAACAGAATGGGACAAAATGTACTTGGGCCAAACAGTATTTGATACTTGCTCTGATAAAAGGCAGGAGGCTCCTATTTTTTCCTGGTAATTACCCACCATTTCACCGCCTGACCCCATCTCCTCTCAGCTTTCCAACACTCTTCCCCCTTTCTGAGATGAAGACGAAGCTGAGGGGTGCCAGTGGGAGAGATCCGAAAGCAACATCTCCCCTGGAGGCCTGTTGCTATCTCTCCATAAGACACACAAGTAGAACTGATGGGAAGGTTTTCACAGAATCTTGAAAGAGTACCATGAAAAGGGCTTTACAGCAGACTCATCTGAAAGGTGAGCTTGTCTGTCCTGTATCTTTCTTTTGCAAATTGCCAGGCCATAGAAGCTACCAGTTCTATCGGGAGGTCTTCTGTAATTTGTGAAATCTGGCCCAGACACTAAAAGGTTGCCATTTGCAACATTCTGATCAACATTTTCTTCTACTGCTCAGAAATCATATTGACGGTGAGTTAGGACAAACAAACGAGTAAACTCGTACTGAGTGAACAGATGGTACTTTCAAAATAAAGCTAACACGTGTGCATGAAAGTTTAAAAGGCTGCTCTAGGAACTTATTTTTTGAAGCTCATTGTTTTGAGTTCATTAAACGTTGGCTTTGTTAAATGGACGTCATTGTTTCCTCTAAGCCCTGAATCAATCAAGCCTTCTTCTATTTTGTGGGAGAG